GTGCAGAGGAACGCTAGTAATTAACATTCCACCTCCACCTACTGACAGAATATGGTAAGAGGAACTTAACTGCAAGGTCTGTGCAGTGTTTCAGGTGTGTGCCACCTAAAGCTAAAATATAGCTGAAATGGGTTCTGGAAGATGTACAGTACAAGCTAGTATGAACTGCTGTTAGGAGTGTGTATTTAACACACTCAAGTGTGTTTTGTTGGAGTGTTGGTAATAAAACTCTCCTGTATACTGTCTCAAGGTATGGCTTTCGAAGACCTCCCTACCTGGAGTTAAAAGCTCGGCCAAAACTTGGTGAGAGAGAAGTCACTCTGGTTCATGTAACTGAATGGATAGAGAGGAAACTGGAACAAGAGTTTCAGGTGTGTTTCCTTAACGTTTTCCCTTCATTAATTATAGCTTTGGTGGGTTCTTAATTTTTCCCATGTTCCCTGTTTTGTTCATGACTAGCAGGCATTCTCTACTGCTCCTGTTCAGTGGAGTGCACTTTAAAAATTAATCTGACTTCTGGGGTAGTCCTAAGATTCTGTATAGGCCTGGATGGAAATCTGGTCAGCACTTGTCAGAATTATTTTAATCTGAACGTGACATTTCTGTGAAATAGATGGCATGTCAGATTTTGTAATGTTGAAACAGAAGCATGGTGCGAGTTCTTAGCGGATGGAGGGTCAAGCTGTTTAAAATTAAGAACACCTGAGGCAGTAAGGGCTCTCTTTACTACTTTCTTGAAGACAAAATAATACATTTCAAAGTGGCATATGAAATGTAACTTGATTTAAATGCATCTCTTTCACAGAAAATCTTTGTCATGCCAAACATGGATGATGTTTATATTCCTTTAATGCACTCAGCCATGGATCCCCGCTCCTCTACATGCTCTCCTAAAGATCTGGTCACGGAGGCCCCTGATCAGCCATGATGTGAAGACTTGCAGTTTACAGTATTATAAAGGTTATTCTCATGGTTTTATAAACTGTGCTGTAGTTATCATCAATTTGTGCCACTTTCCCCCTCCCCACGGTCTGCCTATAACCATACCTTTGTGCTCACTTGCCTGGTTATTGTTCTGTGTACTTCAGCGACATGGTTTCATTCCATTAAGCAGCTGATTTGTTTTTGTACTGGCTACCATCAGGATTTTAACTTGGAGGCTGAGATGACCTGTTCTTCGGGGGAGGGAGGGAGAACCTAACTATAACAGATCAAGGAGCTTGTTGACACAGCTGATGTTTTCATGCTATGTTGGTGTGCGTTAACACATTGCAAGGTTGTTTGGCAGCAAAGAAACTGCGTGCCAAATGAAAAAAAAAATCCTAAATAAGGAATGAATTTATAAAAACTGGAAGAATATTTTTCTTTCTCAGGCAGTTGGAGGTGTAGAATGAACTGTTTTATGTTCTTTCACTTCTGCAGTCAATAGCTTGTGTCAAGCAATCAAAATATGAAATGCTTTCAGGATTAAAGAATGTAAATTGGGTGTATAGGTAATATTGTGATTCAGTGTGGTATATACATGTTACTTTTTTCATATAGGACTTGTGCTTTTTTTGGGGAAGCAACTAGCCATAAAACACAGTTATCAGTGAAAGTGGGACTGTTGTATTTTTGTAAATGAGGAGAAAAAGGTTGGTAAAGCCATGAGACCAAACTATAGCAAGCAGCCTTACAGTGAGGTACAATCACCTTGATTCATGATTAATTCTGAATGTTTATAAAGACGTGAGCACACACAGGAAATGTTTAATACTGCACATTACCAGAAGTACTTAGTTACCCTACTGTGTATACAGCCTCTTGCTATGATGAAACAGTTTTTTCTTATAGGAGAACTTGTTGCTGTGACTCTTCCATTGCACTGTGTTTACATGCAAAGCACAGGACCAAATTTTCACATTACAGCTGTGCAAATCAGTCTCTTGATGTTTGTGAAACAGCTGTAATGGAAAGATTTGACCCCTATGCATTGTTCTTTTGGACTCTGAAATAGGAATTCAAGCTGATCGTGATCTAAAAGACTGTTTCTGCTACTTAACGGCCAAAACTAAGTGGGGGTATGGGAAACTGCCTCTTATTTCTATCTGGTGTGATGACTCGAGTAAATGTACGCAGTAAATTCGGTATTTGAACACTACATATCCACTACTTACCACACACAATATTTTTCTGATACTTATTGTTGCCAACAGTTCATGGATGTCAGAAAACGTTTCAGTTTACACAGGGTGAGTTCCAGCTCTCCTTTTATAACATGATTTGCTTTTTTTTTTTTTTTTTAAAGTAATTTTTTAAGAACTTTTTTGTACTTTGTGTTGTCACATTTGATGTAAATCAAAATTTCCATGTGTAACTTGATGATTTACCATCTTTAAATGAAGCTATTATATTGAAGGTTTTTTAAACAGCACCTTGCCTGAAACATAAAAGAAAACTAGCATTTAATATATTTAAAATTAATTCTATATTTGAACACCTATTTTGGTTACCTTTAATTAAAATATTAGTAGGTTATATTTGTTACCTGAACTCCTCCTTGACCATTCCAGGCTGTGTATATTCTGGGTTCTGCTCTGATTATGTAGGCACTATCTGCCTCTCATGAAGTCTGCATGTCTTGTACGCAGGTCTTTTATATGATTTAATTTTTATGTGCAATAACTAAAGTCAAAGGACTAGATGCACTAATGTGTAAACGGATTTAGATTGTTATACGAGACTGTCATATTGCACTTCATAAACTGTGGGTAACTACAGTCTGCTTGCTTTGTTTTATTAAATAAATTTATCTCATCAATTATTCAGTTAATTTCCCACAGTGCTTGCCCCCTCCTTCTGCAGGCTTTCAAAAGTCATTAGAATGCAATTCACTACACTGACTTTTGTTTTTACACCCAAGTTGAGTATCTGAACAGGATAACTACAGCTTATGATTGGAGGGTTGACCCACTTGGAGCCTGTTCTAGCTTTAGAAGCAGAAACTTTTTTGTTTTATCCTCTTGAAGTTCAGCACATCTCAACAGTCTCCTTCCCACCTCTTTCTTCACTCTACTCCCTACTGTCAGCATTTACACCAAGACGACACCTTCACAATTTTGTTCTGCACTGAAAAGCCTGAACTGGTTCAGAATCACAGGACAGCAGGGGCAGGCGATAGCCGCTGCAGTAATCTTGGGGCGTGACCTTAAGCTTCACCTTGTAGCCTTCTGTACCTCAGCAGCTCCTCAGCATCCCGTGCTGCCCTCAGTGTGGCTGCACACATCATGCTCCAGCCTGCAGCCATGGCTCCAGCCTTGCTGCCTCCAGAACACCGAGCCCCCAGCTGTAACAGGGTAAGATGCAGGCCCTGAGAACAGCCGCAGCTTGGATCAAGGGATTCAAGCCTCCCTTTTGCTGTACGCATAAAAGACTCCACCAGTCGGCTGCAGAGCACACAGAGCTGCGTCTTTCCAACTCGAGCGCTCGCCTTGGCTGCGGTGCTCTATTCCTGCTGCTGCAGGGGCTGGGCTCCCTGCTCTCATCACCGATGCGGACGCCATATCCTCCGTTCTCACCCCACCCCTCGCCCCCCCTTCGCGCATGCGCGCTGTGCATTGCTGTTAAAAGCGCCGCGCGGGGTGCGCCGCGCAGCGCCAGTTATGGAACAAGGGCTTCGCTCTGGCACCGCTGCTTGGCCGGCGGCGCCGCGCGAGGGCACTCCGCCGGGTCAAAGGCAGTGCGGGGAGAGGAGCGCGCACGAATTAGCAGGCAGACACATCCGCGGGGTCGCACAGTTTTATTGACCGCGCCGCTCGTCGTTCGGCCCCTGTAAGACACAGAGCGGAAAGGAGAGGTTACACGAGTGGTGCGGGGCAGCCGCCCCGCGGGATGCGCGGCAGCCTGGGCGCTCAGATATCGGTTTACTTCATCCGTATCAGAAGTCTAACACGCGTCTAGAGACATCAGCGCCGCCCAGCCCCGGCCGTCCCGTCCCGTCCCCCTCCCCCGACCGCCACTGGCAGCCAGCAGCCCTCACCTCCACGCGCTGCGCAGACGGAAAGGCCGCGCTCCCGCCTCGCGCCTCTTTATAGCGCTCCCATTTCGCCACGCCCTTCCCTTGCTCGTCTCGGCCAATAGGATTCAGAACTCTGGGCACGCGCCGGGCCGGAGGAGGTGAGTGTCCAATAGGATTCAAACCCGGGGTCTCGTGGGGAGCCGTTGGCGCTGAGACGGCGGCGGGTGGAGCAGCGCTGCGCCACATGGCGGCCGAAGAGGGAGGCGCGGTGAGAAGGTAAGGCTCTGAGCGAGCCTGTGTTCGGTGCCCTGACCGCCGCCTGGGAAGTTCCGGAGAAGCAGAACGCTTCTATCGAATGTAATCGTTTGGAGTTCTGGTGCTCGAACCCTTCGCTGTAGCTAAGCAGCAGCGCTTACCAGTGTAGGCCCCGCTCGGAGCCCCGGCGGCGGTTCCTCCGTCCCCGGATCCCCCGGCCGTACCTCGCCCCGCCGCGGTCCTGGGTCTCCCCATGTAAATAATTGTGCTTCATGGTGGTGCGAGCGCTGCGTGCACGACGGGAGAAAAGCAGAGCCCTCATCCTTCAGCGCAGCGCTGTGCACGCCGCGCTTTGCGCTCACAGTGCCTTGCGGTTCTCCCGTCTGCTGCGCGCGTGCAGGTCTGCTCATAGCAGCTCGGGCAGCGCTAATGGCCGGGGGAGGCGCGTCGTTGTGTTGATTTCGGGCGTTACGCTACGCAGCAGCGACTGCCAAAGCCGGAGCCGTGCCGATAGCCGGGGCTCGATCTGCTTCACGGGGAAGGAACACCGGGCTGAGACGCCGGCGGCCGCACGGCCACGTCGAGCGCTCCTCCGGCGGCACGAGACCCGCGCCAAAGCCGGCACCACCTGGGCGCGCCCCCGGCTGACGTCGTCGGCCCGAAGCGGGCGACTCCGCCCCGCCGCGCGGGGAGCGCCGGACACGCCGCGGCCGGCAGGCAGCGCCGCGCTGGGGGAGCGGCCGCGGTGGCAGCCATGGAGCCGCTGCGCCGCCCGCCGCTCGGCCTGGCCGCGGTGCTGCTGCTGCTGCTACTCTCGCCGAGCCTCGGGGTAAGCGCGGCGCGGGCTGGGGCTGATGCCGGGCTTGGGAGGGCGGGCGGCTCTGCCCGCTGCGGGGACGGCTGGGGAAAGGCCTTGTTCGGGCGGACCGGGCCCCGTCCCGGGCGGCAGGCGGAGTGACCCGCCGGGCTGCGACGAAAGTTGGCCGGAGCTGCCGCGGGTCCGAGCTTGGCCGCCTTCGGGAGGGACTGAGCTCGGCGCCGTGTGCCCGCCTCGCCCGCGGTGGCCGTCAGCGCTCCGTGCGGCTGTGCGCTGTGTGCGTGGACCTGAACGCCTGGCGCATAAAATCCCTTGAGATGTCCAAATGCGGTTAATTTTCTTTAAAGTTGCCGCTGACAGTAGGGTGAGTAAACTTTTGCATGCTGAAGCTCTGTAGGTGGGTAGTGGAACTTGGGAGGGTTCACTTCGTTGCTCCAGTTGATACGGCTGTAACCGCACAGGTGGAGGGCCTTGTTTGCTTTATGAGCAGAGCCCACCTGTGCTCGGGTTCAAATGCAAACGCCGGGGGAATGTGGCCCAATCCCAGATTGGACACTTTGATCATTCTCCTTCCAGAACAAAGGTAGCAGCGTGTGCTGAATTTGCAGATGGTTGGTTGGCATTCAGTGGAGGCTGTAGTTCAGAATTCAGATGTGAAAGACAAAGCGTGCAAGTTGCTGCAATGCAGAACGTTTTAAGAAGTAACCAGTTTAGTTATAAGGTATTGCATGGAGCAGAAAGAGAAGGACCCGTAGCGAAGCCAATCCAAAGTAAATGAACACTGAGCAGATTGCTGCAATGATTGTAAGCAGCGTACCTTAAAATGGGGGCTGTCTGTTGCATATAAAATCAGATGGTGTCCCACAGTACTGGTCTGAAAGATGTTTTGCTTTGTAAGTTCTTAGGATTGGGTCACAGCATGGAAGGCCAGCTGGCATTTACTGCTTCCATTGTATCTGAGCGCAGCCAGGTTTTACACTATGTTCCTTCCACTGTGTTCCTTGCTTATTGTTACTTGAACATACAGGTGTAATGCATGGGGTTACAGTTCTGGTCAAGCAAAGCTGCAGGCTTTGTTTTTCATCTAGGATATAGTAGCTCCACTCCCGTTCTTTAAAAGTAAACACCCGTGGGTAATGGAGCTATGTAATAGAGTTGTTACTTGAGCAAGAAACTGGGGAAAAAAAAGTGTCAACAAAAATGACATGAAAATTGTTAGTGAAGAATGGTAATGGTTCTAGGTTACAATATTTTGCAGTGGGAACTCTCGTGCAATCCACAGTTTTAAAAATCATACTCAATAAGAGTACTAAAAAGTATTTTTAAACTAACAATAATTTAAAAATCGACAGATTAAAACTAGGTTCTGTGTAGGTTTTATTTGCACTCATAAAAGCCTGGGTTTGGGCCCAGGCAGAGCTCTCCACTCGTGCTCTCTGGGTTTCCCTCCTCTCCCTGTCCCTCAGTCTGGTATCTGATCTGGGCTTCTCCTTTTCTGTTTCCTTTCTCAGCCCACAGCCCGGCCAGCACGAGTCCTCGCCTTCATCCCTGGCTGAGATCGATTTCTGTCTAAATACGTTTTCATTTCTTTGATTCTAGTCTCAGTTACTCATCATTAACGCATTTCACTGAGATCTGCTCATGTCACATGAGAGATAAATGCCCACTAAATAGGCTGACATACAATTCTTGGTATTGAGGGAGCGTGAAAAACACGAGGCTGCCTAAAGATCTGTGCAGCTCGTGCTTTCTATTAATTTCTTTCAAGGCTACAGACGATGGTTTGCTGCTGCATGTTTTCTTTGATCAATGTACTTTATATCCTGGCTTTAATAGTGCTTTCTTTTACCTTACATGTTCCTTTAAGGGCTTTCTTTCCCATCTTTTCCTTGCAGTATGAAATCCCATCCCTTGTTATTGAAATGACAGACTGAACAGCTCTTGGAATTACCCTGGCAATACATGGGAACATGTTATAAAAGGGTGACATCTCAGATGCAGCAATGAGAAGTGCAGTAGAGCCATTAGGAAATAAGCAGTCAGTATAAATATTATATACTGCTGATTTATTGCTCTCTGTAATTTGGAAAAAAAAAACAAAACAAAAACAACAACAAACCAAAAAAAGACCAACAAACCAACAAACTTATTTCTGAGCCATGGAGTAATCATGATAGAAATGTTCACTCATTCCTCATGGGTTGTGTTGCAGCCAGACATCCCAGACTTTTCCCATTTTCCAGCATGGAGTTGCTGCTGATCAGAAGTAGTAAACTCTCTGGAATGAATCTGTCACTTAGAGCACAGTGCTGCTCTGCCTTGCTGCCTCTGGGCTGGTGTCAGTGCCGTTACATGGGGAGGACAGGCAGCACGTGGGGCTGTGCTCAGCATGGGAATAACCCCAGCCTTACCCAGGTGTCGTTTCTTCTAATGTGTTCCTTATCTCAGCAGGCGTTTGGCCAGTTAGCTGAAAGGTGTGAAAATCTATGCAGGACTACAGAAGATTTCACTGAGGACATCTTCAAGAGTTAATTAGTTCACATTAATATGTTCTGAATTGCAGGGCTTTGGTTGCTCACTAAAACCACTTGCATGCTGGGGTCAGTTGGTAGGTTGTATTGAGGAATACAAACTCACCTTGCACACCTAAAGCTCCAATGGCCAGCTCTGTCTTGAAGTAACATTCATGTATTTATAGCCCTGCTTCACTCATTCTGATTGGTAGCATCTTGTGAAACTGAACTAAGCTTTGCTTTTACAGACTGATCCTGGTGTGAGCTTGGAGCTTACAGCGCAGAGCATCGCTCAAGGTTCCGTCAAGTCAGAGGGCAGTTGCGAAGGACATCCCGTAGTTCTGCATTTCCTCTTGTAGTTTCTTTGTTGGCAGCTTTCTTTCATACATTAACTATTACTTTTACTGGAGAGCTTCCCCCGACAGTTCACTGAAGGGGATGGTTTCTCCCTGGTGTGGTTTGTTATGCCTGCTGAGCTGCAGCCCGTAGGCTGGCAGTGCTGTCACAGGGTGGCTGTCCAGGGCCGATGGATCTTGGGCTGTCCCTGATGAATATGGCCATTGCGTGTGCCGTGCTGAGCTTTATAAGGGATTTACTGTGCCTCCGTGCTGGTTTGTCTGCTGTGCTTCCAGCAGCACAGCTGGTCTGGACCTCGTCTTGGAGAGGAGAGCATCTGGTGCTGTTCATGCTGAAGCTGTTCCTTAGTAATTTTTTTAGTAAAATGCAAATGCACTGACTGATATATATTAGACTAATTATGTATTGAGGAATGTAGGCATTTTTTTCTTGAGAGAGTGCATGCATCTCAGCTCTTTTGTTTGGTAGGCCAGGCATTAATGAGGAAGTTAGTAGAATTGAAATGGTGGGTAGCAAGTAATTCATCCTTGATCTTCCATCAGACCAGACAAATTACACGTGGTGTGTATGTACTCCTTTGAGACTCGGAGAAGAACAACACTACCTGGTAACAGCACCCTGCTTTGTTTACTGGCAAGCACCAAAGTGTTTCTGTGAAATCAGTGTCAGTTCTCAGAGTTAGAAATCGAGCATCACATCCACTGTCGATGCAGAGTGTTTTTCTGTTCTGTGTTTGTGCGTGAGAAGCAGCCTCCTGTGCTACCAGCCCCGGAGCAGACGTATTTCTGGGTTACACAGCGATCCCCTCCAGGAGCCCAGCAGCCTGCTTTTCTGTCTGCTCTTACCCACAGGCTTCAGGGGAGGTTGTGCAAACTCAGTAACCTGCATTTCAGAAGGGCTGTTTTTAAGAAGATAAATTAATGGAAGAAATGACTCCTGTGGGGATCTGTTTTCTTCTGGCACAATAAAACAAATTAGGGCACTGCTGTGGTAAGCCTTGAAAACATGTGAAGTGCTGTTGAGTTCAGATACCATCTCTGACACTGAACTGTACCACAGGCCTACAAACACAGCCAAACTTGTTCTGCAGCTTTTGCTGTCCTTCGTTTCACTCTTGGGTCATTCCGACTTGTTTGGAGTCATTTTGTTACTTTGATTTCTAAAGCACCATTTTATCTGAAGATGTGGTAGGCTTGGAGAGAGGGGAAGATCCTTGCTGTAGTCAGTGAGCTGGTATCTGTAGATAAATGCCCTCGTCAGTCCCGTGCTTCAGGCTCTTACAGACTCTTAGCAAACAGTGCTTTGGAACATTTGTCAAAGTTTAACTCAGTGAGCGCTTAACTGTTATTAGAAATGTGTTCTGAATTAATTTATTTTAAAAAATCATTGGAAAGCAGTCTGCAGATAGTCTGAAAATCCTGCAAGTCCTTCTCCTGATGTCACTGCTGTGGTGGAAGATTCTTATGACTACGGAATCACAGAATCACAGAATTGTAGGGGTTGGAAGGGACCTCCAGAGCTCATGGAGTCCAACCCCCTGCCAAAGCAGGTTCCCTACAGCAGGTCGCACAGGTCGGCATCCAGGCAGGTCTTGAACATCTCCAGAGAAGGAGACTCCACCACCTCCCTGGGCAGCCTGTTCCAGTGCTCCGTCACCTCACTGTAAAGAAGTTCTTGCGCACATTTGTGCGGAACTTCCTATGCTGCGGAATGTCAGAGCTCTGGAACTCACTGAATGCCAGAGAGGCTCCTCGATACGGTTTCACACTAAATAACAGAAGAATTAAAAGAGGTTTTGTTTCTGCTTTGTGTTCTGTGCCCAGGAAGTTGAGCTGTTTTTACTCAGCAAACTCACAGCCTGCCAGGTTCTTCTTGCATTGAGTTGCATCTCCTCGGTGTAAAACAGCAATGTAAAGTCATTGCTCTCAAGGATTTGCACTGCATCCCAAGTCAGACCCCATCTGCAGGGAGCACCACGTCACAATGTCTGCACACGGGTATTTGTAAAGACTCTGTCCCAGGACTGAGATTATTATGGGTTTTTGGTTTTGGTTTGAAATGGTTCACATAAAAATGGCAGTTGGTTTGGCTTTTTACATACACGTTTTTGTTGTTTTTCGTAATAGTGCTAAGTCCAGACTTCAATTAATCCATTAATCAATCAATTGCAAAGTTTATTCTAAAAATAAAATCCATTCCGTATTTGCAACCTTGGTACTGCAGTCTGATAAAAGAAAAGCCTGCTTTCATTCCCAAGTGAAATACAGGTAATTGCCTGTTCATTTTTGAGTTTTGTTTTATGCCACTTGTGTGAATAAAGCCTTGTTTCCATTCTATTGTGCTGGTTCCCTAAGTCTTTCTCAGGTGCTACTGGAGATATTTGACAGAACAGATCAGCAATATTGCACTGAAAAGACCAAAAAAAGCGTGATTTCAGATCTCAGTCCTACCTGGAAGGTTGCTGTGTGGCTCTGTTATGTGGGCAGCACTCAGGTGTTCATCTTGCTTTCTGCTGAAACTGAAAGGGAGAGCTGGCTGTGCTTGGCTGCATCGTTCAGCGTGTTGATGTGCTGGAGGGGATTCCTGTGCCTGCAGAATGCACTCTGCACGTCCAGTGCATTGCCCTCAATCCCCAGAACCAGCAGCCTTTCCAAACATTGGTCACCTGGACAATAGTATTGATTACTGATGTTTTGATGGGAGTTTCAGAGCTCACATTTAGTTCCATCGTCTTTATAACCTTGGTTCCAGCACAAACAGCAATTCAGATGCTCCCATGTTGAGTATTAGGACTGTGGAGCTGCAGCCAGTAGCATGCCATACCTGCGGATGCACTAGATTTGGTGCCTAACTGCACTCATTAGGATCTCTGTTCTACAGATGCGTTTATTTGTGAAGAGGATGCAGACTTGTATTCTGTTCTCAATAGGAGAAAGGAAGTGAAAATGCTGAGAATATATTGATTCTGTAAGATAAAGAGACTTGTGCAGAGAGTACGTGCTTTGCAAGTACCTCTGCAGTGAAAACAGGCATTTGTTTGGAATGAGGGAGGTGCAGTGTGCTTTGTCAGTGGCCTGAGTAAAAAGCTGCATGCATTTTTTCTCCCAAATTTTGCATTTTGTTGTGATTTCTTCCTTGCACTCATGCAGATATGTAGGGAGCATTTTAACCAGCTGCCTTCTGATTGGCATTGGACAACATCTGGCTGCTGTGGATGATGGTTAATTAGCTGTAATTAACCTGATGGGCCAATTTGTGCAGGTCGTTAAAGCAGAGCTGGAATATTCATTCAGTGGCTTTGGTTCATGTTCTTGTTCAGTTCCTATTTTGTAAGCAGGCAGCTTTGCACAACTGTGGCTGTTGTTCCATTTCTTGCTTTCCAACGGAAGAAATTAAACGTGTTACATCGTATCTAAACTGTGTGTGAGTTTAAAAGTGAGCCAGCTTTTCAACATTCTTAGGGATAGGATGAAGGAATTCCTTGTCTGTCATCAGTCACTGCTAACTAGGATTGTTTGGGATTGTTTTTAGTAAAATATGTTGTGATCTTCAGCTGCAAATTAATACACAAGTCCAGAATGTTACTGCACAAAGGCTGATTTCCAATTAATTTTGAATACAGTCCATTCCTTCTGATGTTCATCATGATGCTGTTATCAGCACGTGTGGGAAATTCTGCTCTTCATTAATTGCTTGAATCCAGGATGATCAGGAATGAATGTGAATGTTTCTGGGAAGGCATTCAGCGTTTGTGCCTTCTTTCTTTCTGCCCTGTGTGCCCAGTTTCCACTCCAGCCTTTTCGTTGTGGCTGGGAAGAATTGTGTGTAATGTTTGTGAGTGATTCTTCTCGTTCTGTGCTTTCCCTCAGTCTGATGCTTTAGCTGCAGTTTTCCAAAGAGGCTGTTACTCTAATATCCAGGAATCTTAATTTGCATTTTCTTTGCAATAATTCTAGCATGACTAGTAATTATTTTCAAAAATTTAAGTCATTTAAGACATTGCTGGTTATGAAAAATGCATACACTTTCATTTCATGAGCTACGGTGGGTTAAGAGTTATATTTAACAGTGAAACTTTCTAGTGGTGGCAGGTGGCACACAGACGAGCAGTGCAGATGCAGTGCACAAATTACTGCTTATTTGAGCAGTAACCTGGGACTCAGTAAATGGGAATGGGTCGGCCTTAGGGTGTGTAAGATCATCTTTAGGCAGGAAAAGCAAGCATGCGATTAATGTGGGTTTTTTTCCTGCTCTGTGTACTGAAACACCTTGGAGTTATCCTCACTGATCCTGCAGCAGCTTCATAGTTCTGAGTCTGAGTGTTGGGATGATGTCCTTGTAATAAAATCGCATGCGATGTCCAGGCTCAACAGCTGCTTGTGCTGTAGAAATAACAGCAGGCACCTGACAGCACTGTGCCTGAGTGTGAAGAATGGAGAGGCATTTCCCCAGTGGCAAAGTGATCAGAATGCCAGGTTAAGGCTTGAGTCCTGTAGCATGAATTACTTTCTAGGGCCTACAGATGTGATCGTAGATGTGGATTTGCTTAATGCTGTTTGGGGCAGAAATGCATTAATTGGAGACCTGAGATGCAGTAACACGCTGAAGAGACCTTACTCCTCCTACCTTTATGCTTCAGTCCTAAGTGCTCAGTCCTTGCTCAGAGCTGGTCATGCAGCTCCAGCTCGTCCCTCGGCTGCTGCCAGCTCTGCAGAGTAGTCTTGTTTCCTATCCCACCTTTTACCCAGCCACGTTTCTCTTATCTTCTGGGGACTAAATCTTGGCAAAAATATGTTCTGTTAGTTTTTTAGTGGCATGGTTGTTACTTCACACTTGCATTCTCTGTGCTGCTTTGGAGTTCCTTACCCTGGGTCTCTTCTCACATGGGCTTTGCTTTCTGTTTGTTTCCTAAGTTGTCCCTATCTGTGTTTTCTCCACAGCCTAGTGCAAGAAGGCTTTGATATCGTATTGAATATGGAGTTGGGGATAGGTTACTCACTGCACGTTTGTCTGGGGGAGCTGAGTGCAGTTAGCAGTGCTGTGGCGGTCGCAGAAAAAAATGCCTGAATTCAGAAGGACAGATTGTCCAGTTTGTGTGATGAAAATAAAGATGATGTTCTACAGAATTTACTGTCTGACAAGGCAGTAGTAAAAAACTGTAGTAAGCAGTGACATTCAGTGTATGGGTTTTTCTTTTCTAGAATACCAGCTCAGTAACTGTGCCTGAAACACTCTTGTTTGTTTCAACTCTTGATGGAAGTTTGCATGCTGTCAGCAAGCGGACGGGAGCGATCAAGTGGACTTTAAAAGAAGGTGAGGAGATGTCCTGGTGCTCTCTCTTTTCAGTGCTAGAATTGACAATTCAAACTGTTGTAGAGCCTGGTAAATACTGTTTGTTTGTTTGTTTTTTCTTTCCTTTTTTTTTTTTTTTTTGGCTTTTGCTCTTTCTCCAGACTCTGAATGAAGCTGGTGTTTCTGAAGTCGTGCTGAGCTTTGTATTTTGACTTGCAGGTCTTTTTCCACATTTGTGGTTTTCTTGTGCATGGTTTTGTTGTTTTTTTCCCCAGAACACTTCAGTTGTAGTGCTGTCACTGGCTAAGTAGGAATCACGTTATGTGAGAGTGAGAGTGAGTGCCGTGTAAGAATGCATAGAAGAGAGCAGATGTCATCTCGTGGGACTGTCGGCAGAGGAAGCTTGATTTTTATCCCTGAAATCTCCAGCATGCAGTGGATGGGGTACACACATGGCATCCTTTTGACTAGAAACAGCACAGGGTTTTACATAAAAGAGCTGCACTCGGGTACAGGAATTTAACATTGCTCAGAGACTGGAGGCGATTTTGTAATTTCAGTTATTTTGTAGAGAGCTCCTTTTGTCTGTGACAAATTCAGTGTTTAATAAGAACTTGTTTTAGTGGGAATCTGATTACATTTAGTAGAAATGATAGCAGAACTTTCTCTTCGTGTCTGGAAATGAATGAGAAAGCAGGTCAGGTGGAAAGGAATCGCAGTGATTGCATAGTTCTGACCTGATGAAACCTCGTGTCAATTTAGTAGGTGAACTGAAATGGTGTGAAATGAATTGTGCATACTGGATGCATGCAATACAAACCGATTATTCTTAGTTCTGAGACCACTGGTATCTAGATACAATGTGGCTAGACAAAAAGTTAACTTCACTAAGGAGCAAAAAGTGGTTTTGTAGCTATTCTTGGGGTAAAAAGGGGTAAGCACGTTCTTAAAGGATCTTTGTTGCTGGATGTGATTATATTTTCTCCCTGCTGTCTCCCCTTTTAAATTTAGACCTATCCTCCTCCTTTATTGTCGCTGTATAGGCTGTTGTGGTTTTAACAGAAGCATTAGCTGGCTCTTACTTCTGCATTGGATGTACAGTGCATTGTCCTAAATCAGAAGGGTGTTGTAAGCAGCATTTTTTTTTATTTATTTTTTTTGGCAGACAGGCTTAGGAAGTGGCAGGAGATTTCTTGAGGAAGAAATAAAGGCACTTTTGTAGTGAGAAGGGCTTCGATCAAAGTGTGTTGCTCAAGGAAATTTTTTCTTTAAAGTGTTGCAAGGCTATTGTTCATACAGTGCAATGACAAGACTGGATAATCTAGTTTTCTAGGACTACCTGTTCTCTCTGTCACTGTGTTAAGTTCTGTACGCTGCCCACATCAGGTATGTTAGGGTGCTTCATCACAGCCTGCACCAGCTTGTGGTGTTATGTCCCTGGAGAATTGTAACAGTGCAGAATTCCATGTTAATGCCTGCACACAGCATTAATGCCTGCACACAGCCTCTGTGCATCTCTTTGCCAGCAGCAGGAGCGCACTGTTGCATGGAATTAACAGAAGGGAAGCAGCACACACTGCAGGCCGAGTTCCTGCAGGTGCTGCTGTCCCCGGGCTGTCGGTGAGCCATGTGCTGTGCATCTCACGTGTGCAGAGGAGTTGTGGAGGTCACTGCAGGAAGAGGTTTTTATCAGCGCGCTTAGCAGCGGTGTTTAACAAAGGGCAATTGTATGCATTTTGTTTTGATTGGGAGAAAAACCAAGGTGGTGCTCTTTATCAGACAGTGCTTAAACAAACACGGCGATCTTGCCGTGTATGGTTAGTTTTAATGTAAGGCTGGAACTTATCATAGGTATGCAGAGCAAATGAACCGCTGGTTATCAGCACGATAATGTGTTTGGGTTTCCTGCCTTTGTGTAGTGCTGCCAAGAAGGGCGGTCAGAATGCTTGTGCTCCCCATAATGCAGGCAAAAATGGATTCAGTCAGTAGTTCAGAAATACAGCTGTATTCCTTGCAGTGATACATAGGTGGGTTGTGGACTTGTTTGCTGAGGGTACGGGTATGAATGCCTTCATTTCCTGTTGGCTTCTGTGGGCCTTGCAGTCTGTCAGCTGTCAGGGCGTTGGTGGCTGCGTAACCAACTCATCCCCTGAGCTGTGGAATGGAGCTGGAGAATCTGCTCCTTCTTCATGTCAGATTTCATTTACAATTCTGGCATCAGTGGGAGTTTGAAGAATGTAATCTTAAGTGTGTACTTTTCTTTTGTGTCTTCTTAAAAATCATCCTGTGCTACTCTTTGTACTTCTGTACTTCGTTAACTCCAGAATTAATGAGCAGAATATTGAACTATGATATTCAGTATGTAATATTTCAAACTGTACTTTCAGACCAAATATTTCTCTGTTCTTCTGTCAATCACAAACTGAACTCTTCAGTTACCTGCTTCTTAAAAGGTTTTTCTCTAGGAACTGGTTCAAGGAAGAGCATAAAGTACATACAGATTTGGGTCTAGATTTAGAGCCTGCAGAAACCTTATTATGAACTGCAGTTATCTTTAGCAATCAGGAAAATCTGTGGGCAACGAAAGTTGATTTAAAAGGTTTTGATTGGTGATGCCTCAATTACAACTTACTGACAACAGTGGACTGGTCACAGTAAGACAGAGATATAAAACCTTTATCTATTGATGATATCCAATATGTAAATTTTAAAGGACTGCTCTGAGATCTGTAGGTCCTCTCTATTAGAAGTGCTTATTCCCAGCTGGGAAGAAATACTTTGTGCGTGACTGCTGACTAATAGTGACTGTCAGAACGATTGTAGGACGGTTCTCTTTCTATCACATTTCAGAGGATGGTGGGTTACTATCTCTAACCTCATTTTCTGTAATTGCAACAGCAAGCAGAGATGACACGATTTTAAATTGGCCCGTTAGCCCAAATGCTATGGAAGGGCCTCAGGTCAGGAAATCGTTTCCTCTGGCTCATTCCAGTGGGCAGGAGTTTACTCGCTTGCTGTTTCAGAATCTTCCACTTCTCCTTTTTCAGTTATTGGTTTTGCATGTTCTATCTAAGGCACATCACAGCGATGAAGATGTGCTGCTCTGTCTTGCGCATCAAAAAAGGCTTGTTCTTGACCTGGGTGAGGGGCAGATTTTGACTGGATCACGTTTGTGAAATATGGAACAAAGTCAAAGGGCCGTTGTTTCGTGTTGCGGTTTCAAAAATTGTATCTATGGCTTTTTTCCATGTATGTATGCAAAATATGGTTAGAATTGCAAGCGAGTAATATAGGCACGAATAATTTCTGGTCATAATGCAACCACGATTTTATAGGGGCATCTACCTGCCCAGGTCAGAATGTTCAGTTCAGTGGAGTATAGCTGAGCCCAGTAATTGCCAAAACGTCTCTGACATAAATTACACCAAGTTTCCAGTAACTGCTTTGCTTTTGAACGCAGTCTTAGAGCTCTAGAATAAATCTTTACAATTTAGAACCAGTCCTTTTGCTTTTTTTGGAGTCTGTTTTTTTCAGTCTAACAATTTAAAATCGAAGCCTTTCAATTCTTAGCGAATAGTGACTTTATAGTTTCATAATGACACAGAAAAAGGTACCAGCCATCTTAACAGTGCTGTTATTCTTTGCGTGCCCTTGAACTTCCTGTGCTTGGGGGGTGCTAATCTGCTAAATGAATTTGCTGAGTACTGCGTGGCAGTAATTTCACAAATGCATGTGTTTGTTTACACATGTGTGCACTACCAGGTCTGAATGCCAAACCTGGGGTGTGTTGGTAGGATGTCAATGCCGGAGTGGTTCACGTGCTCAGCCTTAGTGGAGTCTGCAGGAAAAAACAATTGGAAAACCGTGGAAGTATCTATAGAAATGTCAGTCTTTCGTTGAGCACTGGAACATGTGCAGGATGGTGTCTTGCTTGCTACCTCATGGTTCCATACTTCATTTTGGTTTTGATGACTTTTTGTTGGGAAACAGAAAGCTTTGGGGCAAGTTGTGCCAAATGATTTATGTAGGATATTGTAAGAAATTTGGTTTTCCTTTTGTACAGGGAGTGAAACTGTAGGGAGGGGCAGATGGATTTAATCAGTTGTATCACATTTTCTCTGTGAAGTTTTTGTTCTCATGTTGAATACTTGCCACCTTGTTGAGTGGCTGTTATCGTTTGTTGGTATTGGAACAGATCGGGGCAATTAGAATGAGTTACATAATTACAGGGTGCAGTCGTTGAGGGAGATTTGGAAAGCAGGGTATGTGATTCCAGTCTCAGCATGTTAACTCTCGATTGCTGAGCTGCTGAAGAGAAAAGAAGGCCTCTGAGTTCTGCAAGAGTGTCTTCCATTTGACTCAGTGTGGAGCAGAAGATGAGCTCAGTTCAAAGATGATTCACTGTGGCTTTTCACCAGTTGGTATTCAGGTGGATGAAAGCTATTGCAGGACCTGACAAAAAGTAAATTCACAAGTTTCTTTTATCTCTGAGTGAAATCTTATTTCAAAACAAACTTTGAAATAAAAGTGGAATAAGTCCCAGACCACGTGAAGGTGAACACGAGGACAGACATGAACTCCTCAGTGTCTCTGTAGGACCCCACCCCGACTTCAAAATAATGTAAGTGTGAAGAAAGTGAGAAAATGTACATCACCCCTATAGCTGGGGCTGTAGGGAGGTGTCTTTCCAGTGAGCCTTTCCAGGTGGAAAGTGCCAGTAGTGAAAATTTCGGTAACTTCAGAAGAAAAACTTCCTCCATCTGTGCTCATTCATTGCAAATTATCCCTTCAGTGGAAGTAAATCAGGACTGCGTGCCTGGATACAAAATGCTTTCCAGCAGTTCATATACAGCACTTAAATGTTGCAGGGAGCCACAAGAGTCATCAGTGTTCTGAGTCCTGTGCCAGTAAATACTGCAGAATTGTTCTGCTGCTTCGTAGCAGTGGCTTAATCTGTTAGGTCTACACTTTATCATTGCTACTACATCCAGTTTCAGTTACTGAGTAAACAAAAAGGAAGATTTCAGTTTTATTCCACTTCTGATGAAGCCCCATTCTTGATAGTGAAAACATGATACTAGAGAAGAAAAATGTAAGGACTGAAGTGAGCATGATGCTTCCATATGGGCACTCATTGAGCAGCTTGGAAGCCTTTATTTCATGTATTCTGATACACAGGAGTGTTTTGGGAAAGCTCGCTGCAGAAGCTGAAAAGACATCTGTGGATTTCTCTTATGATCACGTAGAACGCATTTGTTGGTGAAATTGTTGTGACTGACAATAAGCCATCTTCTTTTGCTTCGCCTAGGCTGACTGGAGGGCAGTGTATACAGCAGTCTGCATTTCTGTACTTGCAGAGTGCACACGTAGCCAGTTATCACTTCAGAAACAAGTTGTGCAGCTTTGTTATCGTGGGTGATCGCTGGCGATAGACCAAGTTGCAGAGGCACAGTTGGTGATGACTGTTGTCATCCTCACCACAGGCAGTGGGTTACTTTTTCCAAGTGAGACATTCTCTGTGTAATCAGTTCATCGAGAGACTTGCAAAGTTTATTTGGCTTTTTACCTTTTGCAGCATCTGCAGCACTGGCATTAGATGTTACCCTAACTGAGGCAGGTGCCGTTTTCTGCTGATGTATGGTGCTGTTTCTTTCAGGAAGCAGAGGATTTAACTTCCCATGAAGCACTTATGGTTACGAAACCCCTACCCTGTGGTCGTTAACGTGTCTTTCTCACTTCAGCTCATTTCAGCTGGACTCATGGGTGCTTGCTTTGGGTACTTGGACTGGGCTCATCTCCAGAGCTGAGCCCCTTTATGTAATGGTCATCTAATGCTTTTTCTTTCTTGCATTTCTTTATTAGAGGAGAGATGATGCAAGTCACCATTTGCATTGCATTAGATATCCTAAAGCTTGTGGAATGCTTGAAGCAAACACAGAGAAATAATTGGCATATGATCAGCTGTAAGTTTGGATCCTCCAGCATACCCTGAAAACAGTTTTTTCCTGCAAGGGCTAGTAATGAATTGCATGATGTAGATCAGTGGAGTAGTGTGATCTGTAGGGTAGATACAGGATGATAAACCCCTCAGCTTCTCTGTCTGAATGTTGGTAGTTGTTTGTAAGGACTTTTGATGTTTGCTTCTGTTTTCAATAAATTAAGTGGATTTCTTGATATGATTTGGAGCTGTACACTTGCATATCATTCCCATCTTACATCAGTAAACAGTGGTAGCAGTAATAATTCATTATTGAAAGAAAAACTGTTCAAGATAGGTTGTGTGAATAGATATCAGGGCCTGGGATTGGTGATGGTACCAGCTGGATTGTTTCAGCTTTTTGCTGCCCTATGCATGAGGCTTGGGTACAGCTGATGTGAGCAGGCTGTTTCTTCTGCCTCTTTTGGGGCCCACTGTAGGATTGGGGAAATGGCCCAAAGTCCACATGCACTGCTGAGGTGTGTGTCCTCCAGCACCAGAGGGCATTGGTTGGGATGTGGGGAGGGACTGCACAGCATGCACAGCCTGTCTGCTAACTGTAGCTTGTGTTTAAGTAAGATAGGTTGCTGAAGGCTGTGTAATGACAGCAGTTGCTGCAAATTATGGTGAGCTGCCTCCTGGGCAGCCAGTGCCCAGAAATCACACATTGCTGACAGCAAGAGCTCTTGTGAGTATTTATGCAAGCAGTTCTAACAGACTGTGCTCCAGCCAGGAGTGAAATAAGAAAGCTCAAAGTACGGCAGAGAACTGCTGTCTCATCTGCGTTTCCTTCCATCGGTAGCTGGGGAGTGGTGTGGATAAAAGTAAGCAAAGAACTTCAGAAGCTATAAGCACTTCTCAGATGCTGGGCACTTTCCCATTTTACAAATGTGGTTACAACCAGGTTACAACCTCACTGAGGCTGCTGGGGTGCTCCTTGCAAACTCAGTGCATCAGCCATTCGAAAAGCAGCAGAGTTGAAGGAACCAAATAGCCAGTATTACGACTTTTCTTTCTTCTGTTTATACAGATCCTGTCCTGCAGGTGCCAATACATGTGGAAGAGTAAGTCTGTTTCTTTTCTGTCATTTATTGCTTGTGGCATGTTGAGATTAGGTTTATTTTGAAACAAAATCCTGTGCGTTCTTGGAAGGTGTCATACCTTGTGCATGTGAACTTTAAGTTGTTGAAAGAGCTGATGCTGAAAGAATGTAATTAGCAGCATACAGTTCTCGTAACACTAAGATGAAACCTCCTGTCTGTAGATTGTTCTCTCTCAAGTCTTTGATCAGGTTTAGCAATTACGTGTGATCACTGCCAGAGTCTTACTGAGCAGCTTTGAAAGTGATAGAGACAGACAGCGAGTGATCTCTGGGTTTTGCACTTAATCTCTCCAAATAAAAGACTAAAAATAGTGAAGCACTGGAAACCCAAACCACAGCTGCTACCAGAATCTTGAGATGAAACCCTCGCAGTGCTGCTTCGCTCATTCCTCCAGCACAGCCGTCACGTTGCGCTAGAAAATTTGATTTTATGTCTTTATGTCTCTGTAGTGTGTGGTAAAATCCTTTTTATGTGTGTGTGGTTTTGTTTTTGAGTTTGCTCTTTTGGGTTGGTTTTTTTTTTGTTGTTTTTTTTTGGGGGGGAGGGCTGGGGGGGGGTTGCTATTTGGGTGAGGACTTTCATTTCCCTCTTAAAGTTACTGAGTTCTGACAGCTGTTCCTTATCCTTTATGCTCCCTGGTTTTGTTTGATTAGGTAATATGAAGTCAAAACATACAGTGTTAGAAGGAGCTAGATGAACTTCTCTGGAAAGCTGGCACTGACCACAGTTGCTTTCCTGTTCTCTGAGAAGCACAGTACTTCTTTTTTTAATCATTTTTAATTGCTGCTTAAATCCTAGGCCAGCATTTCTTCCAGACCCAAACGATGGCAGTTTGTATACGCTTGGTGGCAAGAATAATGAAGGCCTGACTGTAAGTGTGTCCTTTGGAGATTCTCTCACAGTTCTCAGACCAGTGCCAGTCAGACTCACACAAACATCAGTCTCTGAAGGAACTTTCTGCTTCCTCAGCAGCGCTGCTTTTTATTGTTCAGTGGAGTTCAGTCTTTTGGAAAACCTGGATCACAGCAAAGCCAAACGTCTGTCATATGTGCGAGTTTTTGGACTGATCGTACTCTCACGTTCTTTTGCTGTTGCTTTTGCTGAGCAGTGCCATGCTTTCTGACAATGGAACGTTCCCACCTTGTGACCGTCAGGAAATCACTGTCACTTGAAAATACCAACAGCAGACATGTTTGTTTTGTCCACTTGTCCTGTTTTATTGAAACTGGCTAACGTAATGATGGTGACAATTTACATGTCGGTGGTGTTATCCAAGTAACAGGCCATCTCTTTACAGCCAGATGGGAAAGGTGTGCCCAAAGTGATACAAACTGGGTACAACTCTTTCACCTTAATACTTAATTTTCTAGAACCATCCAGCAGATAGGATTAATGTATGTTCTTTGCTGACACCTGTAGAAGATGTCTTAGTTTTAGTAAGCAGTCAAAAATGCTGACCCTTTCAGACACTCACCAATCTGTGTGACCCACAGATGTTAGCAAACCTTGGGCTGGGCTTTTATTTTTAAATCTTGTGATGAAACTCATAAAATGTTTGGCTTTCCAGAGTTTTCCTTTCTCTGGCAGCTGATACAATTTCCTCTAAGAATTTAAATACTCTTAAATACTTTAGTATTTACTCGCCACTCTTGTTCCCCATAGTACAGCCAAATCATAACTTGCAGAATGAGCCCTGATTCTTTTCCTGGGTGAATCCAGGAAGCATCTTAACAAAGTTTCCTTTGTTCTGTTAATCTCCCTTCTTGAACTGAAGTAATCAAACTTCTATTTGGAATCACTGTTGTTACAAGTTTCACGAGTAAAAAAGAACTGATCTTTGTTATTAGTGTAGCTTGTCCATTACTCTTGTAGCCCCATCCTTATAAAAGTCTGTTAACAATAAGAATCTTCACCCATCTTCTCCCTGCAGTGCAGCCTTGGCAGTGTCTCAGGAACTCTCTGGTCAGAAATTACTGCCTCACCCTGATGACAGTTTCACCTGTATGAAGTTATCTAGCCTTTACAGTTGTTACTGTAAGAGAAACATCTCACACCCCTTACATGTGAGGCAATTAGGCAGTGTGCTGAAAGCTAGACAGCTGCTGAGTGCTGATGGTAGGCCTTAAAAAGAGTCTTTGCCTCCAAATCCCTCTGCTGCAGGTGGTCTCTTCATGCACTTCTCCTGCTGTAAGTCGCTGAGCCAGGCCTCTGGCTGTTGTGAGTTTTCAGAGGAGGGCCTTGACCTGAACTTTTGGGATATCACTGCAATAATACAAGCAAATAATTAAAAACTGTCATTTGAGATTTCCGAAGTTTTCTGGCTGCTCTTTTCTATGAACAAGAGCAAAGACTTATCACAGCAATGTAAAGAAACTTTTATTGTTTTTCTCTTCCCCAGAAACTTCCATTTACCATCCCAGAGTTAGTGCAGGCATCTCCCTGCCGCAGTTCAGATGGGATCCTTTACATGGGTGAGCTCAAGTTAAAGCTTTGTTAAGATTGTAACATGTTCAGCAACCATGAAGTCCCAGGCAGACTACATGGGAATGTTTGACTCTGGGTATAAATTGTAGTTTTTCACAAATGTTTCTGATGACAGAAAATTGATTTGATATAAATTAAATTGCAAAAATTGAAGAAACAACTTTTCCTGAGGGAGAGAACAGCTGTTCTGAGCAGTGAGCAGCCGATATGGTTGGGTTTCTTTGTTTGTTTTTCTCGCTTCTATAGGTGCTCTCACAACAAAAAGGGATTTCTGCTTAGAGTCTTATGTTTACAAATGTTATTGTTTATAGTACAGTGATTGCATTAGGAATCTTACTGCAACAGGGTTGGACACATTCCACTACCCAAGATACAGTCAGGTCACTTGTATATAATAACAATTTTGTGTCTGACTTGGCCTGTGTCATTCTAACTGCAGGTGGATTTGGGTTGAGGAAGGGAGGAGGAAGGACAGTTTGTGTATGACAGCAGTAGATGTGTGGAGGATCAGGATGAACTTAGTGTTGCTTTTTAATTTGAAGATCCAGTGCCTGCTTCTGGCTCTCCACTTTATGTTGCTCCATTAAAAGGGTGAAGAATGTCCATCTGAGCTTCTAAGCTAGACAAGTCTGTGTTAAAGTTGAAGAACTACTTGTTGTTGTTGTTCTTGTGTCTTAATAGGATTACAGTCCTTGATCAATTTGGAACGTGTGGTCCCTCATCATTTCTTTCATCTGCTGTCCTTCCACCATAGCACCTCAGCGTCCTCTGCCAGCTCAGAGGGTTTTTTGCACTGAGAATTATCTTAGGAATTACATGGCCAGTTGTACTTACCTTTCTGAATACTGGATTCAGTTGTTGATGTCAGTGTTTGGAATTGGCCATCAGCTCTAAAAGCTGAACTGAAGCCTGACTGAAAGACACCGTTTTATTTAAAGGCTCATTCATGCTGAGCTCATGAGCCTCCTAAAGAAAAAAGAATGAAAAACTTAACAGAAGTGCAATTTTCCAACTGAAGAGTAACACTTAAATTGTGATTTCAGGCAAGAAGCAGGATATTTGGTATGTGATTGACCTCATGACTGGGGAGAAACAGCAAACCTTGACTTCTTCGTTTGCAGAAAGTCTTTGTCCATCAACATCCCTGCTGTATCTTGGGAGAACAGGTCAGATGCTGCTCTTTTCTGCAGCTTAGAATTTTTCCTTGTTTTTGTTGCAATTTTTGAAGACTAGAATGATAACAAATGACTTGTGATCATGTTTTGAAGTTTACATCTTGAAATAAAGTCTGTAAATTACAATTTTAGATGATACTATCATTTATGATTTTAGACTGACATGAGTGTGTGCATGGATCAGGTGTTGTCTTCAGCCATGTGGCTTTATGGTTCTTTATTAGGAGTGTGGGGAAAATGAAATGCAGAACACAGTGAGCAGCGTGTGGTGTTCTGAGCTGTGTCTTGCATTTGCAGTGATGGCTGCTGTGCTCCAGAGGCTTTTTTGCTTCACAGACTGTGTATTTTTTTAACAGAGTACACAATCACAATGTATGACACCAAGAAGAAGGAGCTGAGATGGAATGCCACCTATTTTGATTATGCAGCTACTATGCCTGATGAAGACGTAAAATATAGTAAGAATTTAATTGCAGTCTTTTCTTTTTCAGATATTGGCCACAGGCAATGTATACAGGCAAACCTATTTTTTTTTCCATAATGAATAAGTTGACTAAATTTTGGAATTCATACCTATCGGTTTTTAGCCTTTGGCTTAATGTCTCAAGCCTGTTAGTTTCAGGTCAACGCAACCTTTGACTCTTAAAATGCAGTGGGAAATGGCAGGAGAGGAAGCAAACCTGAACTGCAATGCACAGCCACTGAACAACTCTGTTGTTTTTGCCCAGAGTGTGGGACACTTACAGTTAGTTTGTCTTCCACAGTCGAGTTTACATTGAGGTTAATCAAATTGGAGTCTGCAAGGACTGCCTGTTTGCTCTCAGTCACAGAGCAGCTCTGCAGGGCTGTCTTCAGAATCCTGACACCGAACAAAGGATGGCAGAGCTTTCAGTCATTCAGTGAGAGACTTCTCAGTCGCTTCTCACCCATGAAGGCTCCCCTTTCGGCATATGCTGAAGACATGATCTGTGTGTTAGTTAATCTGCAGGTTTAGCGGTGAGGTCTACGAGACTCGCTGTTGTACATGCTGAGGAGAGCTAAACGTGCTTTTCCTGCTGGCTGACTGAACCAAGCTTTTATCAGTGTACGTTTGACAGCTTTTCATTTCCAAGATGCAGTGAACTCCACAGTTATGCGAGGCTTGTTAATATGTGTTACTGAAATTGCATGTAAGCAGCAATCCAGATAATCTCCTATACATTTGTATATTGTAGAAATGTCCCACTTTGTGTCTAATGGAGATGGACTGGTGGTGACTGTAGACAGTGAGTCTGGGGACGTGCTGTGGATTCAGAATTACGCTTCTCCTGTGGTAGCTTTTTACATCTGGCAACGTGAAGGATTGCGGAAAGTTATGCACACAAATGTGGGGATAGAAACTCTGCGATACTTGACATTCATGTCTGGGGAGGTCGGACACATTACCAAGTGGAAATATCCTTTTCCAAAGGAAACAGAGACCAAGAGCAAATTAACGTGAGCATGAGTATTCCTGTTGTTCTCATTATCTATCAGTCAGGTTTTGACAGCAGCCCTCGCTCTCCAGCAGTGATTGTCTTTCATATTTGATCTTTTACTGTCTAAAGGCAGAGACACACAAAAAATCATCTACTTAGTGAATGTGTTCCTTATTTTTATCAGATGTTTAATGTTGACTTAATATTTTTGGATGTGGAGCCTTTTGTTTAGATGCTGAGCATTTGGCAAATATCGATTTCAGTAATTATAACAAATAAGAAATGAATAATTATGACAACTTTCATAAGTAAAATGGGTTGATCACAGCACTTCTGTCTATGAATCCGGGGTTTTCAAGAAGTAAATATTGATGATTTTGGAAACGGATGCATTGGTTGTGAATTAGGCTTTAGCTGACATGGTACAACATCCATCTGTCTATTTCATTTTTACATACTACTTTCTTTCCAGACCAACTCTTTATGTAGGGAAATACTCCACGAGTTTGTATGCATCGCCATCGATGGTGCACGAAGGAGTAACAGTTGTGGTAAGTTGAGAGCTGCCAGAGATGAATGGCACCTGCTGGAAATTGCCTTTGCAGAATTAGTATTGCTCTAGGATGTAAAAAAACTAATTAAAGTTGAAATTCAGTGCTTTGAGTAGAAAGACACTAGAGCATAATTACAACAAAATGTACAGAAGTATTTTAAAGTGCATTTTTCTCATTTTAAATGAGAAATAGCCTCCATATGTCTAAAACAAAGATATTTTGAATGCATCTGGAATTCTGAGATTGCTTCCATTAAAGCATGATGCACGTTCCTACATAAAATGGTTCTGCAAGAACCATTCTGTCCTGTAATGGAAGATCATGTGAACTGATGAAGTTTGTTCCAGTATTGAAAAGGGCTCCTTATTAAAATAAAAAATAATACTGATGGTTGTATGTTTGCAGAAATTAGGTTTTAAATTGCAAATTTGAATCGGTAAATACATGGCAAATTGAATATTTAATGAAACAATGGTAATAGGTGTTAGAATGCATGGCTGTCTTTCCAAAATAAGTTCAGATGCTGCAGAGATGTGACTGCAGTCATTAGGTCGTGTGCCAGGAGTCGGGCAGGAGTGAAACAGGGGCTGCTGTGTAGTATTGGTGCATCGTGGTTACTGTTAAAGTTGTTGATTTTTTTCTTCATCAGAATTACTCCCTCTTGATAGGAAGCTGCTCACAATGGCTGTCCAAACAGCAGATAAGGCTCCTGTTTCACTTTTCTAAAAAGAGAATAATCTCATCTCCTAGGCAACGTGTAGCTTAGAAGGTCTAATGTCCAAGGCTGCTGAAGCATTTGCTGAGGGCGTAAGGGGCAGTGTTTGCTCACGGTGACTTTGTGGCCAGTTTTTGCTTTCCCACCAATTCTGACCCTCCATTCTTTAATTTGTTTGCCTGCTGAAATATTCTGGAGATTCACTGCGTTATGAATTGTAATGATAATCTCTCTTTCTAGCCCCGTGGCAGTGCCATACCCTTATTAGAGGGTCCAAAAACAGAAGGAGTCACAATTGAAGACAATGGCGAATGTGTCATCACTCCCAGTACGGATTTAAAGTTCTCAGGCAGACTGAAAGGAAAGAACAAACTCAGCTATTGGAACGACTTGCTGTTAATAGGTGAGGTCCCTTAGCCTGCGTCTGCCTTTCAGGCAGGATCCACTGCCATCTGCTGGTGGCTGTCCTACTCCAAACCTTAGAGCTGTTCTCAACTGCTGTACTTCAGTCATGACTGCCTAAACTGAGACAAGTACTGAGTTCTAGTAACAATTGGCGCTTTGTGCCCCTTAGAATATGCGTTGATGTTTTTAAGTAGACGTCTGGTTGTTGTTTTTTACAAGGCATCTGATCTGCTTCATTCAGTAAAGTGAACGAGGAGTGATCAGAAAGTTGTTTATTGCTTATTTTGCCCCTCATCCAGAGAGGGGTATAAGGCAGTTTATTGTCCCCATTGCTGTAAGTGCTGCATTCTGGTTCCTTCACGTTTCTGTTCTCTTGTGCACAGCATTACTTTAATTCTCATTGTAGCCATCAGAGTGTTGTCTGTCCCCCATTTCACAACTGTAAGACATTGACGATCAGAATAACGAAGTGTCAGCCTATTTTGTGTGGCCCAGGTTCCAAAATTTCAGAGTTGACTTTCCAGGACACTTAAAAATTTTGCTTCAAAAAAAAAAAGCAGAGTTCTTGAAGTGATACATGATTATAATCTGTAAATGTCATAACTGACCTCTATGACAGGGACAGGAATGCAACTTCCAGCTGCTTTACCTGCTGCCTTTTCTTTCTGTGATGCTGTCCACTTCTCAGAGTATGTGAAGCAGCTCTTGTTGAACAGCTCTCATTTCTCCACTATGCTCTGCAGTGAATGATTTGTGCCCTCCATCTTTTCCCTTTCTTGCTCTATACGTTATGAGGAATCTTCCTCTGTCTAATTGCAGATGTTAGCTCAGTAGATTCTTCCTCTTCGTACTTGGCTAACACGAGCCAAAGGAGTGTGAAGAGCAGTTGCAGTTGAGCGCAGGATCAGTTCTTCTTCCCTTTTTCTGCAGTGTCATCCTTGGAACCATTTTAAATCTCAAATGTGATCTTTGCTCCAAGGCCAAATCACGAAGCAAAGCTAACTTGGGAAGGAGCCAGCTACGAGGCATTGTAATGTGTATTCCTGTTATGGTCACAGAGAAGCTCGTGAACTAAATGCACAGTCAGTGTTTGAGTAGAGACCTCTTAGTGACTGCATTCCTGTGCCTGTGACTGCAGAGGCAGAGCAGAGGAAAAAATAAGTTTTAAGCTCATCTTGTACTTTTATTTTCTCAAGTGTTTTGTATATCATCTTCCATCTACGGTCTTCATCAACATTTGAACACGTGTGTTTTATTTTAAGGGCACCATGAAACTCCCTTATCTGCCCCTACAAAGATCCTGGAGAAATTCCCAAGCAACTTACCTAGGAGGCCTGAAAATGTGATTCCAGCTGACTCTGATAAAGTCACTATTGAGAAGGTCTGTGATGAGGATAATCATCTTACTTTATGATTAAAGAATGTAGAGGAATAGAAGCCGTGGAGGGGCTTAGCAAAAAAGCATGTCAGTGTCCCAGTACCCATGAAGACACTGAACTAAAAGACCATTCTCTGCCTCGTAGGTTATTGACATCGTTGAAGGTTCTGCACCAGAAGTGCCTCCTGCTGTTCCAAAGGATATTGAGGAGAAAGCTGCTCAGCCTGTTGCTCGGCCAGAAGCTCCTGTGGACTCTATGTTGAAAGACATGGCCACGATCATTCTCAGCACTTTCCTACTCGTGGGCTGGGTGGCATTTATCATCGCCTATCCAATGGTAATGCTGACTTGTCTTGATGGGGTTTTCTGCTTTGGGAGGAGCAGTGGCATTTGAGAGCTAACCCCAAGAAGAGATACAGGAGTTAGGAAATACTGTAATTCTTTTTTTTTTCCCCTCCTCACTTTAACTCCCAGATGTGCTGGGGGTTGCAAAGGCTAAATATCTGACAGAACAGTCTTTCCACTGCCATATGTGCCAATGCTGGAGATTATTTTTTTTCATTCTACAAATTCTGTTTTTTTGCATCTGTTAACTCTTTTTCACAGATATTGTCTTAACATCAGAGGCTTTACTCCCCATTTGCTCACTTGAACCTCTGTCATGTTTTCTGACTTGCACTTGCAGCAGGATAAAGGTGTTAAAAGACACCTAGTTAGCCTAAGTCAGCTTTTGCCACATTAACCAATCTGTTGTGATTGCGTAGCTTTGCTGTGAAAGCTGAGAATGAAGATGAGAACATGAGGAAAAGCCCCTTTATTTCTCCAGCTTACTTTGCTGGCAGTGTTATAACAAAGTTTTCCCCTGTCTCTTGGATGTATCTACTCTAATAGCTGAAGCATTCCTTTTAAGTAAGGAATTTCAGTCTCCCACTTATGAACTGAGATCCTCTTTCAGAGTGTACATCAGCAACAGCAAAGGCAGCATCAGCTGGAAGAGAAGATACAGCTCTTGCAACAACAGAAGCTGCCCTTCCGTGCTCCCAGTGATCTGCCACCAGAAGATTTCTTGGACACCTCCTATGGACAGACAGACAGCTCTGCTACCAGCACACCAAATATGTCGCCCAAAGCATCAAACCATTCTGCATATTCCAACATCTCCACATCTGATGTTGGGAGCTGCCTTTCTACAGAGCAAGAAGAGGGAGGTAACGTAAATCTAGTGCGTTTGATTGTGAATGTCTGTGCTTCATATATAAAACAGCTGAAAAAGACCATCATCCTCATTTAGTCTGCCTGTGGCAAAACATCAGGCAGGTGTCCACGACTGACTTGGAGCAGAAATACTTGCTTTAGAAAAACATCCCGTTCAGAGTTGTCACTGGAGGGATTTTTGTTGTGCATGAGGATATATTATAAGCTGGAAGCGTTTCATATGAATAAAAATTATGTATGAACGATAGTCAAGGAATGAGTTCTGCAGTGTGCTCTGCCACCCCTGCCTCATCTTCCTACACAGTCTTTAGTCCCTCTGGAGGGCTGTGCAGGGAAACAACTACTAAATCCACTTCCTTTAATTATCACTGTGCAAATTCAACAGAACTTTCTAGAAAGATTTTATCTGTTGTCCAAGACCTTTTCAGACTTACGTCAGGTGTTTTGTACTGAGTATGTTTGAAACTGTGAGTTGAATCACACACCAGGATTTGCCTACTCAGCACGAGTACCAAAATGCAGCTGTTCATTTCTTTTGATCATCTGTGTTGTGAGTTTAATGTTTTTTTACTTCCAGCATTCTTCCAGCACAGTGCACAGTAGTACAGGGCTGGCTTGATCCATCCTAAAGCAGTCTTTCTGCTTCTTGTTTTCGTTTAGATGACGATACCAACAGAGTGATGGTTGGCAAGATTTCATTTAACCCAAAAGATGTACTGGGGCATGGAGCTGAAGGAACAATTGTTTACAGGTAAATGACTTGCATTCAGTATTTAACAGACCAATTTTTTATTGCATTATTTTTTAAAAAGCAAACAAACCCAACACCTATGGTGAACAAAAATACTTTAAAGTATTTTGCATGGTGTGTTTTCATGGTGTTTCTGCTCTAGCAAAAACTACTCCTCTCAGATATGTTTAAATGACCAAATGTATTTGCGTCCAGCGTGAAAAATACTTCAGTATGCCTTTGTGAAATGCCCTGTGTTGTCATTTGTTTTGTACCTTGTCCACGTTAGCCTTGTTCTAATAATTGGTTGAGGTGACTTTCCTGCCTGCAGGGGGACGTTTGATAACCGTGATGTTGCAGTGAAAAGAATTCTTCCCGAGTGCTTCAGCTTTGCAGACCGCGAAGTGCAGCTGCTGCGAGAGTCGGATGAGCACCCGAATGTGATCCGCTACTTCTGCACGGAGAAGGACCGGCAGTTCCAGTACATCGCTATCGAGCTGTGCGCCGCCACCTTGCAGGAGGTGCTGAGTCTCCTGCAAACCTAAACGATTTTGAGTCTTCTCGCTGGAAGGCCTTCAGTTTCCCTTAGCTTCTGCAGCAGATGTCCCAGTTATTCTTGCCATCTGTGAAAGTTAAACGTTCCTAAAACAGGAATATTCTTAGAACTCCAGGAGTATCCTCCAACCCTGTACTGACCTAAGGGAAGAAGTTGTTGTCCTTTGATACTCCTGGAAATCACTCTGTTTTAGGCATCCCTCTCCTACCATCTGGACCCTCAAAACTTGCTCCTGGAAAAACAGTGCTGTGCAGAATTCTAACTCTGAATGACTTTATACAGCTCATCACCTTCAGACAGAAAGGCTAGTGCATATCCCCAGCTAGCATTAGGCTGCCCACAGTTTCCTGTTTGGTTTTTTTTTTTTTTTTTTGCATATTATCTATGCAGAAACTTATTAAGTGATTTTATGGTTCTATCTTCCATTTTTCTGTTGTCATGTACAGTATGTTGAACAAAAGGCCTTCAGTCACCATGGCTTACAACCTATTACCCTCCTGCAACAGACGACATCTGGTCTCGCTTACCTGCACTCCCTCAGTATTGGTAAGAATGACTTTATTTTCAGTACGGGATACAGACTGATACATTTTCTTAACTATGAAGAAGGAACTGGTCTGGTGCTGACCTGTGAAGTGATTGGCTTCCCCTAGTGCTAGCAGCACACAATACGGTCTGTCCTAGCACTAGACTGCTTCTTATGTTCTGCCTTCAAAATTCTGCTGCATTTAGGGTAGCCATTACCATTTGTTCAGAGCACTGCATGTTTTTTGGAGAGAAGACATGCAAAGTGTGTCTGCAGAACAGTGACTTGTGATGGAATTAAAAAATGTGCCATTGACAGTAGTTTGATGAAATAAGCAGTGGGTCAGCCTTGTGAAAAACGTACAGTGCAAATTTACAAATTCTGTTGGGATTGCCTGGAGTGCATCAGCAGGTGTCTGTTACAGTGCACAGGGACCTGAAGCCCCATAACATCCTCATCTCGATGCCTAATGCCCACGGGAAAGTCAAAGCGATGATCTCAGACTTTGGCCTGTGCAAGAAGCTGGCAGTGGGCAGACACAGCTTTAGCAGACGGTCGGGGGTGCCGGGAACAGAAGGGTGGATTGCCCCAGAGATGCTGAGTGAAGACTGCAAAGAGAACCCTGTAAGTGTTTGTCTTCCCTTCAGACCTCCCTGCAAGAAGGCAGCACAACCAGCAGGTTGCACAGCTGCAGACAGACCTTAAGATGTGCAGTGCTGGATGCCCCAGCACTCATGCTGACGTACATTAGCACTACCTTTTTTAAACTCTACTTCTCTCTCTCACCGTATGTCTGTAAGTATTTATTTACATGTAGCCATTTCTTTCAATTAGTAACAAGTCTTAAATAGCAAGATGTGATTCTGAGTTGTATTCTGTGCTCAGATGCAAATAACCACATGATGATGAGACATTCTCCACAGGAAAAATCTTGTTGCTATTAATTAAATAATAAACAATTATTATTAATTAAATAATAAATTATTGCTTATTTGCAGACATACACCGTGGACATCTTTTCAGCAGGCTGTGTCTTTTACTATGTGGTATCTGAGGGCAGCCACCCCTTTGGCAAATCTCTACAGCGACAAGCCAACATTCTGCTGGGTGCATACAGCCTGGAATTGTTGGATGCAGGGAGGCACGGTAAGAAAGGCAAACAAAGATCACTGCTGAACTCAGTGAGTATCCAGTGGGTGCTAAAATTGTCATAGAAAAGGCTGAACTGTAACCCACAGTGAAACCCACTTGGCAATGGTGAAAGCTGTACTCCTGCAGTGAAGCTCCTGAAGTTCTTAGTATTCCTCTCCAAAAGCATCTCAGTTAGTTGGAAAAATCTGGATTCCTGCAAGCTTGACAGTAGAGTTTAAAGGGTTGGAAAGATCTTCCTAATTGCATTGATGCCGTGTAACCTTCTGTTGGTTGCCTACAGTATCTGTGAGGGTGTCATTTGAGCTCTTGCTTGGGATTGCATAGGAGGAAATAGGAAATTTAACCATTTTCATACAGAATATTAGCTCTCCCTGCAGCTTCTGAATGCTCACCCTTTTCCTTGCAGAAGACATAGTGGCTCGTGATTTAATAGAGCAAATGATAAACATGGACCCTCAGAAACGTCCATCTGCCAGCTGTGTGCTAAAACACCCATTCTTTTGGAGTTTAGAAAAGCAGCTCCAGTTTTTTCAGGTTTGTCACAACCATCAGATCTTGAATTCACTGTTTTCATCCCTACTTTGTGCATGTTTGAGGTGACACAATACAGGATAACATGTTGCCAAGCCAGTTTTTAAGAAGAGAGTAGACCGCTGTGGTGAACGTGTGTATTAAGCGTGGGGTGGGAACTGGGTGAGGACTTGAGGTTCTTTCCAGTCTTTTCTATTCAGTGATTAAAAAGAAATACAGCTTTTGGCAGATAGTCTTCTGTGATTGTATTTCACCATCTTCATCCCAAGCATTATTCCTTGCACAGTATTTGTCCCAAAGTAGAATCACCTCCATTATCAGGAGGCCAGAAGCTGTAATTTGAAATAACTGGGAAATGCTTAAGAATGCAACTGAAAATAACTGGAGTGTCTCTTCCAGGACGTCAGTGACCGGATAGAGAAAGAAGCTTTAGATGGTCCAATAGTCAAGCAGTTAGAAAGAGGAGGAAGAGAGGTGGTGAAAATGGACTGGAGGGAGCACATCACTGTTCCTCTTCAGACAGGTAACAAATGGTCTCTTGTCAGAACGGCAGGGAGTTCTGTTATCCCCGGTTTGCACGGACAAGAAATTAAGGACAGGGTCTCAGTTCTGGCACAGTTTTTCCTTGTCACCACAGCATTTATTCAAATTATATGATGTGTCTCACTCAATATATGAACACCTCATAAACATACATTTCTTTTGAGGCCAGCAACTACAACTGCCAGCATCAAAACAAACGTTAATTTCTTTGGCAGATCTTCGAAAATTCAGATCGTATAAAGGAGGCTCAGTACGGGACCTTCTGAGGGCGATGAGAAATAAGGTAAAGTTTCTGCATATGTAAACCCAACAGACTAACAGGTTACTTGTGCATGAAAATACACCTTGTACAGGCAGACTGGAAGACTCCACCTGAGCTTTCCCCTGTTGTTTTGTTTCTTACAGAAGCACCATTACAGAGAACTGCCTCCTGAGGTGCAGGAGACCCTGGGCTCCATCCCAGATGATTTTGTACATTACTTCACAGCTCGTTTCCCTCACCTGCTCCTACATACCTACCACGCAATGCATATCTGCTGCCACGAAAGACTGTTTCAGCACTACTACGATCAGGACTCTGCAGAGAAGAGCATTGCAGGAGATGCTGTTTGAGAGCAGAGCAAGCTTTCTTCTCTGGAACCAACATTCCAAGCACAAGGCTGTGAAACAGGCCTACCTTTCGCAGGGAAAAGCAGGATCAAAGAGCTGAATTGTCTCTTTGAGGAAACCAAGCTTCCAAGAAGTGCCTTGTACTGTGCCTGCACTGGATCAGGAGATAGTAGGAGACCAAGGAGCAATGAAGCTGCAAAAGCAATGAACCCTGGTGCTGGAGTTATCCCAAGGAAGGTCTCAGCAAAGTGAAGAGGGAGAGCAAAAGCTGGATATAAGCATCATCCACTGTCCCTATACTGTACTTGATGTTGTAAGTTGCATTTTACTGCAAAGAATCAAAATACAGTAACTGAAATTATAGATTTACTAGGGGGGTGGGACCCGCAAACGGAACCTTTTAGTTGCAGCAAATCAGAGCCTGCCATTGCACTACTGCCACACTGCATTAGGCACACTGCAGTGAGGGTAGAGGGAATTGTTTTTAGTGAGGCAAAACCTCTAAAAAGACTTACCCTTGTTAAATCAGCATTACCCTGGAAACAGACCCTATTTGAGCAGATGAAGTTAGAAAACTTGAAAAAAGTTAAAGGCTTCGCAAACCTCACTGTTTTAATGTCAGCCAGTATTCCCAGGAGAGCTAGAGCAGTACTTGATTTAAAAACCAGCGTCTGCACAAGTAACTTCAGGAGATATGCTGATGTCAGCAAGGAACTGCTCCTGAAATGGTAATGATTCACCCACTGCAAGCATTCCTTCCTTTCTTCTAAGGAAAAGGAGTGGCAGCTGCAGAGCCAGAGGTAAGAAATGAGTCCTGGGTAAAAGAAGCTGAATGGGAACTGAGACGTATCAAGCAGTGAATTGATAGGAGGAAGAAAGCTGCAAAGTTACCTCATTTTCTGCTTTATGTCCATGGGAACCTGTGTTTCTAAAGATGCAGTATTTCTCTTCTTTGGCCCTAAAGCTGTGACACAAAGCATCAAGTGTGTGCAAAGGATGAAGAAATGCTGATTTCTAATTTGACAGAGGTGGGTGTGTTCGTCTGCAATGTATTTATTTAACATATTTATATTTATTTAATAACTTTTGATACCACTTCCTAGTAAAAAGTGGTACGAGTACAAAGCATGCCAAATCTTCCTTAATCATTTTTGTATTTATATTTAATCATATTATAACAACTGGAAAAGTTATACTGCATCTTTCAAAAAATTCATTAGCTAGAAGAAAAGTGGAGATTGACCTGATTGTGCCATTGTGTCTCCAACTAATAAATCATGGACTGTTCTGTGTGTGAGCGATTGGGCACTTACAGTGACTGTACTGGGACACTTCACTGTAAGGTTTTTCCTAGTTTTACAGTGTGTGAGAGCAATTTACTATTTCTACAGCTTAAAGAAAAAAAGTACTTTTAACTAAGGAGATTCAAAGCCTATTTCCTATTTTTGTATTTCTCATGTAAAGATCTTTTATAATTCTACTAAATAAAGACTTGTACTCTCATAAAATGACTTCAGTGATGAAGTGAGCTACACTGCTAGCACACATGGATTAATGCAGGTTTCAGAACCAGGGCTGGAGACGGTGCAAGGGAAGAGGAGCAGCACAGTCACACCAACCTCAGGTTCATATTTTAGCATAAAACCCCCCTTCCTGCTATTCAGAGCTCCAGCTGTGGTGCAGGACAGGAAGAAGGGGGGCAGGGGGGAGAAGCAACAAGAAATAAAGGAATGCATATAAACATATATATACACATATATAAACATATACATATATAAATGTCCACACCACTACAGACTTGAAAGTCTTCCCTCTAACACACAAGGAGGAGTCTTTCTTTTCAAAGGCACCCATTCTTACCTCTTAGAAACACAAGGGCCTCGATTCAAACTCTGCTTCACTGTATTACAAAGATAATTACTATCTGACTTCCTCCAAACTAACAAACAGAAAAGCCAAGAGAGAAAAAGCATACACCTGCACTCAGGGTGGCCCTGCTTTATTTACAAAACAGGAGTCATGGGGCAGATTAAATACAGGCTCATCCTTTACATGCTCACAGTCAAATACCCCAACAATCTGACTACTGAATCAAATTTGGGAGAGCTTTAACAAGCCTGGTGACAAAGCTCCTGTCTTGGCCCCCCTGTAGGCCATCAGAGCACACCTTCTGAAAGTCTCAGACACTGCTGAAATGGCCTGAGGACAAACACTGCATCATGTCACACAGTACTGAAAATCAAGGATTTAATATTTCAGTATCTCTCAAGAAATTAACCTGTGAGTCCAATGAGTACAATTAAATGAGACCAACCTGCCTAGCAGTTATCCATGCAGGAGAGCTGCAAGGACAAACATCCTCATTTCTCCAGTGCTTTGCTGTTCAGAACAGACAGACCACTTAATGTCCCCTCCACTAGGTTTCATGAAAATGCTATTAGATACTTTCCCCCCAACATTCCCCTCCCTCTCCAACATAATCTAATTTCTCTGTACAATCAGTTCAGAAAAAGGACAGTGGATTAACACCAAAAGTTAAATATTAAAAAAGATTCACTTACTTCTCGTCTCCAGGTACAGACCAGTTCCTGAATGGTTTACAGACACAGAACGAGTCAAAAGTTATGGTTTAAATAACATGAGGGAAAGTGGGTTTCATAAACACTGTGAAACAGCTCACATTTCTTGCATTAATTTAAATAGGTCTCAAGATGAGAAAAAAAAATACACAGAAGCAGCGTTTTACTTATATTTAATCAGAGACTGTTACAAAGCAGTTTGTATACATACATACGTATGCGCAGTTATCTATGCCTGAAATACAGTTCACAGAAGGTTCCCAAGGGATGCCAATGATGTTTGCTCCATATTTTCTTTGAATCTTCTTTGTAAACTGAATGCTATAAAAATTAAGCTACAATTATTGGTGCTTGCATGCACTAAAGCAATGCACATACTTACCAATCCTTCTGAAATCAAATTCAACATCAATATTTTGCCCTTGATCAAAGATCACTGATCCCATCCCCTTCATACCACTTACACAAGAGCTGCATCGAGTTACAAGAACATTCCTGACATACTGGCATCTGTAGCTGGGCTACTGCAGAGAGGGATGCATTTCAATAATGTGCTTCACCTGAGGAAGGTAAACAGGAGTCTGAGTTTGCTGCACAGTAACTAAAGTCTCCGAATGGGCAACCTGAAGTCATTAAGCAGAAGTCTGAATCAAAGTGTGAACTGGCTCCCTGTTCCCTACTTACTCCTTCAGAACTGCATCAGACTGGAGAACTGCTGTAACTGCATCAGAAGGTGAGCTACGTCTTTAGACTGCCCACTTGAATATGAAAGCTCAGATTCCTCCTGTTTTGTCCCATCTCAAAAGAAAATAAACTTAATTCTACCAAAAAATACTCCAACTGCCATAAAGTTTCACAGAAAGATAACACCCTACTGCAGTTCACACTAGGATCTATCCCAAAGAAATACAGTTTGCTGATGAAACAGTAAAGAACCTCATTCATTGCCAAGCTGGGGTATAAGTAGTGCAGGTCAGCATTCACCCATGGGCAGAACCGAGTTTTCAAATAGTAATTCAGCAGCCAAAAGCAATTCGTTACTTATTCTTACTTACAATAATTATTACAATGCTCAGTAAATGAGGATCAACTACACAAGGCAGAAGGAAGAGGCACAGTCTGTTAAGATAACAGCCTCACAGCGAGGAATTCCTACTAAACATGCCATGAAGTTGTAGGAGGCAGAGGCAAAGATAAGCTACAAAATTTATTACACAACTCTTGTTCTCCTCTAGGGAGAAACACCCAAGCAAAATTATTAAAGTTTACACATCACTACTTTTGCAAAGCAATTCAGTGTGAATGCCTGAAAACCAACACAGAGAAGATGCTGGGAGATGGGCTGTGTCCAACTATTACAAGCACTGGGAATCCCCTTGAAACCTCACCTTTCTTTGATGAGATCTGCAACATTACATACAAGTTCAAAACCCCCAAACAAGCAATACTGCTGAAGTGTCACTTCACTCTTAACTAGTGAAAAGCATTACGTGAGCCAGTGAAATGTCTGTCTGGGTTCTGCACTGCTACATCCTTGTGTAATTATCCACCAATGGTTTCCAAGAGCCCCTCAAATTCACTGTGTGATAATTCACTTACCAAGTGTAAGTTAAGGCACAGAGTTTCACGGCTTATCCAGCAGTGAACCTATCCTATGTGCCACAGCACAGAAGATTTTCATCTCCCACACTGATGTGTGCAGATGAAGCATATGAGGCTTAACTAGAAGTGGGCCATAAGTCAGAGAACAAGCAGCTCCTGGCATACCAGCTATACAGAGCAAAATTCTATTGGTAGCAACAATAACTAACAACTAAAGAAAGGTTACAGTACAGCTACAAATTCTTACAAACTGAACTGCTTATTCCCCAGCACAAGTATCCTGTAATTGGCTCACTGATAAAACTGCCTTCTGCAATAGGCAATGAATGGAGAACTGGCTGACTTTAAAACACCAAAGGCAGCCTGGCTTGCACATAGTACCTAATCCACAAGCACAGTTAAAATCATTAGAGACCTTCAAAAGATTATCTAGGTATTCACTCACTACTGAGCACAGCAGTAGGTAACAAAGATACAGTGACATTTCAGAGATCAAAATTCCCTTTGTATTTAAAAGGTATCATTTGAACATATTATTTCAAATAGGAACATCAGGTACTTACAGATTAAACTAACCTGTACTGGCAGTGCTGTAGGATATTTCTTCTCTACCAGTAAGTAGCAAATGCTGAAATTCTGCTGCTAGTTGACAAAAACACAAATTGTATTAAACCAAGGAGTTCAACCTGTAATTTAGTTTTTCAATTAAAAAAGCTGCCGAACTTCAATTACTACAATTTGTCACTTATGAAAAGCATATGAAGCGAAGGCAACTAAAACTACTTTCAATTTGCCTTTACGTTTCTGTTATTTTGATAACAAGCCAGAAGTTTAACAAGGTAACCCCACTGCCTAACACAAATAGAAAGGAAATCACAATACTTACATTGCCAGGGTCCTTCATTAAATACTCTCATAAAGTGTTTTCTTATTCTAGACTTTACAAATGAAAGAGCAAAATGTATTTTCTTCGACTAGAAGCTAAAGAAGTCAGTGCCTGCATGTATCACACACTTCTACAACACAATGGGGGGACAAAGAGAAAGAAAGAAGCTTTGCATGACATCTTTATTTCACAGCATTATATACTTCCCTAAGCTGGGACACTGAAACAGTTTCCATAGTTGTATGGCATAGTTTTTGGGTAATTCTAAGTTGCTACCATCCAAAACCATTTGTAGATACCGATTACTTAAGGCAGCAGAAGTTGAAATTCAACACCTACCCTCTTTGAAAAGAACCTGGGAATGTGGCTAAGATGTAGGGAAGATTTAAGATAAAATTTGAGACATGAGAAACCTGGATCTGCTGCAACATAGTTACCTAACACACTGTAATGCCAACATGTGGATCATCTGCTTGTGGTTAACATGCTGCTTGCACTCCATCTCTACTGTTTCCTCAGGATGTTTCAGCTTCTCTGAGAAACACGAGCATTAAGGTATGCTCAGGACTTATCTGCAGAGAAGCTCAGTTCATCGTTATGAAGCGGCAGTGCTGCTGCCTGGTACTACTGCAGGTGAGCCTAAAGCAATAGAACAAGTCAGCATAAACTTGTTCAGAAGGGACAAGGTGCGTTATTACTCACAACAGAGGTCCGATGCACAAATGTAAGTCCTCACCGACAGCCAGCACAGACTCATCAGGACGCTGAGAGCAAAGGAGTGAAGGCACCAGCCAGGAGCACACAGCTCAGGACGGGATGCTGCTGGCTGCAGAGGCGGCACGCCGAGGCGCCTGGCTCCCTCACACCTCCCAAGAACTTCCACGGAGCAAAAGAGCATTCACTACACAACAGAATCTCTGAATTCTGTACTAGAATTGTATTTTCTTCCAGTAGAGCCTGAATAAAAATCTGCATTCTCTGATAATCAAAAGATTGCATAAAGCTGCTGTTTAAAGGAGAATACAAGAAAATTATCAGAAAGTTTTTTTCAGAACTTCCCAAACAAATCAGCTCCATACGTAACACTTCAGCCACTCAATGAACACTCACTCCATCCCCTGCAGGGCTGCCTCTGAGACTTCTCACTCCCAAACTCCTGTTTACCTCACTTAGTTCTGACTGAAAATTGCAGCAGTCACTATCACTGCATTTCTGAAGCAACTGCCAGCATTTCACTGGTAATGCTGCCTTGACTGCAGGTGTATATGTACTTTTAAAAGGTAAGTTTTTAAAAGGAGATGGCCTGCCCTCACAGTACTATGGGTCATAGCAGTTATCAGGCATGGCACAGAATACTTCTAAAGCCAGTCAGAGCTCCTGCTGTGCTACGTACTTTTCTACGTCTCTCCTTCACTCCTCAGCACCAGTGGGTTAAAATTCATTCAGTTTAGCAGAATTTCAGGCATTCCTAATGTTTAAGAAGAGTCACGTAGCACTCCACAATCTTAAAAACCCAGCTCTCCAAAACCTGCCTCCACTACTGCCTATGAAAGTCAATTCACTAATATATGACAGTCATTAGAAATGAAATTCCACAGTGCATTATACAGCTTTATGACACTGCTGCAATACTGACAGCACGCACTGGAGTGCCAGTAAAAATGCTGCCAACCTTCCAAATCAATAAATTCCATTTACAGTCTAAGTTTCTTTTGGTACTACCCTCCTTAGATCCACGAGGCATGAAGGAGGTCACCAACAAAGATCCACCAAAAGAACAAGATGTGAACCCTTTGCCATCTATGGGAACTTTTCAGGTTGTTTTAAAGAGACGACAGGGCAGCTATTCTGACAGCTGAGCAGATACTTGCACCTTGTCAGCATGCCATCCTTTGGACTAGAAAGACAGCAGTACTCTGCACACATACCTTTTAGGACGAGGCACAAAGCAAACGGAAAATGCACATCATTAGTTGCTGTAAATTTAAGCACAAACATTAGTCTGTGGTAACAGGTCAGAGTAACACGGATATAGCCTGCTAAAAACACCAACACCCAAACAGGGAACAGGTTGGTCCTGTCCAATCCATGGAGACTTACAGAAAAGGACAGCGATGTAAAGGGTAGAAGCAGAGAATGTTTGAACAACAGGAAAAACCTAGAGCAAAAAGCCTCAGTTCATAAGGTATTGTCACGGAATAGCAGTACATGGAATTATCCTGGAGTCAAATGCATCTTTCAGAAGCAGTGTGAAATTCATTTTCTTGAAATTTTCCAAAAGCTTTAAGAAAAGAAAAAAAAAAAAAATCCATAGCATTGTGATGCTATGCAGTGTCACGTGGTGTGTGAAATCACGCAAAAAATACAAAGAAATGGCTCATCTGTCCTGAAGTATCAGTACACACAGCTTGATCAACAAGGGAGACAGGAACTGCATCCCTGGCACATACTTTCCATGAACATGTAAACCTGCTTTGCTCCAATAAAAACGAAGTTTGCTTTGAGAATGTTCAGCTCTCACCAGAATATCAATGTACTGAGGTAGCCCAAGTGGATTTAAGTAGGGCACTTCATTTACAGACAGTGAAGCACTTGTGTAAACTTCAGCTACTGTTTGTGACACAAGCTAAATACAAGTAGCTGCATAAAAACTACCCCATGCTGCATCATTCTTACATGAAAACTGATGACAAAATTCAACACAATCCATCCAAAATTTGTTTTTTTTCTTTTCCCCATCTGGAGTCTTTCAGAGATTCAGCTACTTAAAGAAGTACAAGTCATGCTGAATACTTAGTTAAATGGCTTCTTTAGATACTCTGGGGAAATAAGAACTAAGCCAAATGCTCCTAGAGACTGAATAAGTGAAATAATGACCAGTTGTGCTGGTGTATCTTAAAGCACTAAGTGTAGCACCACAGTAAGGAAATCAGCAATTACTCTGAAACAGAAAGCAGAGGACACGGCAACTTCCAGTCAGAGACTACTTGGGCCCCCATGAGAAATCCACTCCTTATCCTTCAACACCACTTACTGAAAATCTCCAAGTGCGTCATTACTGATCCCACTCCTGGAGAAATGAAATACAGATTGTGCTCCACAAGAACATTAACAACTTCCTTGGACAAAACTTGCTCCTCTGAAGCTCTCTTTAAGCCACCTCAAGCATTCAAAATCAGCGTACTCCAAGTGAGCAGCACCAGTTTTTCTTCACAAAGGATGGAAGTTTTTGCCAGCTATTCTGCAAAAGTAGTAAATTCAGATAGCCATAACCTTCAGCAAATTTTGGATATGCAACAAGTCCACGTGGTTTCAAGAAAGTAAGATGATTTTTTTCCCAGTACACTGATGCAACAAATTACTGTGAAGTTCAGTGTATTTAAGTGATCAATGAAAAGGTTTTCCTGAAAGTGACAAGCTGAAAGAACTTCAGCTTTCTTTTCTCATTCTTCCATCGACTGGAATCTCTAGTTCTTTACAGGGCACTACACCAACATTTGCTGTGGGGTAGCTCACAAATACAGCAGTCAATGTCCTCCTCCATAGCAACTGTAATTTAGGCTGCAAGTCTGTGTGATAAGGGATGTCACTTCTTAGTTAAAGCCTAAGTATTTCAAGCACTTTGTTAAATACATCTTCCCGGAAGAAAAATTAGTAATTAATCTGTAGTTTTTGAACCAGCAGCATGTATAAAAAGTCACATTGTCAAAAGCAGAACAAATACAGCACAAATAAAACACAGGGGAAGGGGGCAGGGGTACAGTGTGGCTGAAGGACTCCCTGACCATAAGTGAAACAGTACCCAAACCTCTCAAAACACGTTCCCTCCCCGAGACTCTTAAAAAAAACAGTGATAATAAAAAGATTAATATTAATATAGAGCCCATCTACCAAAAGAGAATTAAAAACCTAAATTAAAATAAAAGTAGGGGCCTTCACCAAACTTGCTGCAAGTTTGGGGACATAAATATCCAACAGCCATAAAGCTGTGAAAGCCCCCAGAACGAATAAAATAAATCCCACTTGCCTCAGACTGAACAGGGCAACACTGAGACTCTGCCTCAGCCTGTCCTATGGCAGGGCTATAGGAAGAAGAAAAATTGGAGTTTTAGAAAAAACATGACCCAATTAAGTGAAAGACATGCATTCAAAGTTAACAAAATTCCAGTGATCAAGCAAACCAAAGGAAATGACTGCTACATCACCTATTTCGGCAGGCCCACGCAACTGTTTGTAGCTATTTCTCACCTGGACAGTTTGTTTTGTTTTGTAACTTGATCAGTGGAACAAAGCCAATTGTTTTGGGGCGATTCTCCCCTAACTGACAGTACTTAGTGCTCCAGTTCACCAAAAGAAGAGGGAAAGATTCCATCAGCCACTGAATGTGTTCACACTCACCTTAATTTTTATGTAGAAGCTAGACCAGTACAATTATTAAGACATTTACTATTATTTTTAAATAGTATTAATTTTTAAATTGCAGCCCCAGCTCACAGACCGGATATCAGTCTCAGCTTAACTGAAGAGCCAGAATGCCCTTCTTGCTGTTTAGAAAACTGAGTATTTAATTTCCCATCTCGTATTCCGAATGCTTTGATTCTGCAAAGTAACTCCAGGTTACAGATTCAATTTTAGCCAAGCTTTAAGAGAGCAAGTGACATAGCTGCATTTAGGTATCACTCAGTAAGTCCATATGGAAAACAACAGCAGAAACCATAGAAGGCAGATGCAGCTGAATGTCTTTCTAGAAGCTTGCTTTTGTTCTCTTATGCATGCACAGAGCAAGGAACAGTAATCCACTGAAATTATTACATATACATCCCAGCCTCAAATGTATTATCAGCACCTGAAAATCTCATCTCTAGAAGGAAAAAAAAACAAACTCCAAGCATTTTAAAAAATAAAGACTTTCTGGTCCGTATACACAAGATCAATTTTCAGGAATTTATTTAAAGCAGACTCTGTCAAAGTAGAAAGGTATCCTAAGGACAGAAGAAAACAATCCCAGCAAGCCTTCTGATGAACTAGTCTGAACTCCTCTGAGATTTCCTCATGTCGGTATCAGACATCCAGCTCTAAAATTCAGCAAATGTAACAAGATAAGCCTCTCTCTCATAATGGTATTGAGAGACCATGTATAAACTGTTCAGAACTTCAAGACATTCCTACCTTGCTTTAACATCTTTTACATCTTTTCCCCACTTTGGTCAGAGCTTTTTCCTTTTTTTTTTTCTCCCCTCTAATTCAACACTGGCACAGCGTTCAAATTTAACTGAAGATTTTGACCCAACTGCAACATCTCGTTTGGCTATGAGAGCTGCGACAAGTTCAGACAACAAGGAAAAAACAAAGCTTCTGCCTATAATTCTGTCATTATGGTTCCATAACACAAGATATGTAGTCCTGAACACTGCTGCAATCTCCTTCTAGGGAAAGATGAACTAAAGCAAAAAAACTGCATGCTTGCACTCTATCAGCAATTTTGCACGCACAGCTTCGTTGTAACTTTGTACTGTAGAGTTTTTATACAAGCAATTATTCAAAGCTGTTTTACCCTTTTTGGGAAGGGCACCATAAATCCAACTCTCTGAACGTTAAGAAGCAGTATCCAAAGAAATGAAGGCAGGGACCGACAGACAACAAACGCACAGAAGTACCTGCCTGTTTTCAAAGAGTACACGAGAGACACAACAGTAACTGCAGACAGCTACATTGCAGCTCTTACAGCACAGAAAGGACAGGAGCAAAGGGAGTATCCAAGGGAAGATCACAAAGAAAAAAAACTTTCAACTGCTTGTTGCATATTATTAGGGTACAACATGAGTAATACGTGGCAGAGCTTAGCTGAGGGTTTGTAACAGCATTACTACTGAGGAAAGCTCCATTTTAAGATGTGTCCACACTCTCAGCCTAGGTACTATTAGCTACCGAATGATTCTATTACTGGAAAAATCACACATTTATTATTTGATGGGGGGAACTCCTGGTGAAGACAACTTGCAGAATAGGCTACGTTCACAGTACATGCAGTACTCTTCTCAACTACATTCCCAGGAAAAGTAGGAATCTGAAAATAACATACCAAAGGGTTACAGAAAGCCACCAGAGGGAGAAGGCATTTACTTTACTAGGGGCAGGAAGGCTAAGCATTCTTACAACAGCAATACAACCTTCAGAAAAAGCAAGAATTTGCAAAGTTCTAAAAGCAGAAGTTAAGATCAACGTATAATGTAAGAATTCTATGTGTAACATTACAACAAGGGATAAATAAAACACATTAAAGATCTCTCTAGTGCTTTGCTCCAGGTATCCCTATTAGATAAACAGAAGAAAACCAAGTAGTAAACTAAGGTAAACCAGAATATAAAAGTACTGTGTAAGCGTAAGTTCTGTTAGACTTATGCATAAAGCAAGATGAAAAGCTAACAGAAGATCAGACATCAAGGCCCACTCAGCACATCTGCAAGCCAAATGCTGCACATCTGACAGGTGAGCGGCAGGCAGCAGTGATCAGAGAGAACTGCTTCTCAACAGAGGCTTGGAGTTATGGGCTGAAAACAACACTTCAGGAAAAGCATGACAATTCTTCATGGTTCTACAAAGGCCGTTAGCTGGCATCAGTACTGGATGTGTCAGTGCCTTTATGACGTGTTGTGACACAAAAAATTTGATGCTGAGAGACTATGTAGTATTCTAACCACACTGCACTTCTGAATGACTGCAGGAAGCACTCATTAAAGCCACGTGGAGTACTTAAGTTTAGATAAAAATCCCTCAGGTCCTTCAAGTAAAAGAGCCACAATGCTCAGGATTGAGTGGGAAAAAAAAATATTCATCAATAACAGAAACACTGTGGAACTTACACTGACACAAAAATGCTGACATTCCTTCTAGCACACCCTAACAGAGACAATCCCACAAATTAAATTGCACGTATAAGGCTTGAGGCTGGAACATGTATTTAAAGTTGACCTGCAAATGGAAAATTCACCTCTCTACTTGCTGTGAAGAGACCAGGAACGCTCTTCTCACTTCTCTTCCCTCCAGAATATCGCCCTCTGCCTTCTCCTTCTCATCAGAAACACAAAATGCTAACACAGCCATGTCAAACATGCAGAGAACTACAATCTGGGTGCTCTTCTGTAACTTTACTTATAAACAGATAAATAATCTTTATGGATAAGACTTCTCTTTTACAACTGTAAGTAGGAGCACTGATGAGGAGGCCACTTCCATTAATTGCCTCAGGAAACTTGCATTGTATCACAGAGTACAAAATGGACAGTTCGTCCCAAGGAATGATGAAATTTCAAGTTCTGAGTATTGTGGAAGTGGAAATACAGCACACAACATTGTTCTAGGCCCCCCTGTCTCCTTCACACACCCTGAGATGAAGTTCTTTTTTCTCTTTTGCAGGTCAACTTCAATACAAAAACTGGAAGTCACTCACCCATGTGACATGCACCTAAGCTTCTAGAAATCTCCACCTAAAAGGCTCTTGAAATGGGCATCCTTTTGCACATTAAAAAGCATCAGATGAAGAATGACCTAACAGGACAAGTCTGGCACTAGGATGCACCTTGCAGCAACTGCTTTTACATCCTGCAAGTAAATGCCAGGCTAGAAATCCTTTAAAATTTACTGAGGACAAGAAAGCACGGCTAACGAGACATATGCCATTGGGAGAAATTACAACCAAGATCTAAGATGTGCCTCCTGCACTCTCATTTTTCAATAGTCAGTTAATAAGTGTACAGGTCTTGCCTACTCAGACGTGCACCTAAACAACTTTTGTAACAACAAATTCAGCTTCATGAAAACAGCACCAGTGTGTTCAGTACACCAACAGCTACCATGGCATGCATCTGTACAAACCTTTCAGGCAGTTGTCCGCAGCTGGTCATGAATAAAAAGGCATATAAATTTTTATCTTCTTTTATTACAATGAAGTTTATAACAGTACAGAAAAGTCACACGACCTTAGTGGGTCAGTTTACTTGAACCCTGAAACAGGAGGAATTCTAAATACATTAAATATCGTTACATGTCCAGACTTAAATGTACAAGTAGTTGGGAACAGTTACAGCCCTCACCAAACTATGTTGGGGACACGAAGTCCAACAGCACCTGAAGTGCTGTGAAGGCATCATTTCACAAATAGCAACATAATGTTACAGAACTTGCCTTTAAGGTGGTATGTTCATGTAATTCCAGCGCCTTCACAATTTAACGAACCATATTTACTATACTTCACTTCTAAAAACCTAGATGAAACATGAAAAAGAAGCCATACAGTATAAATTGCAACATCAGGAAAAGTTCCTGTTAATATTCCAAATAAATTTTCCCATGTAAAATAAGAATGTCCAATAGTTCCTAGTTGCCTTGCATGTGGGGAAGATACTTTTTTTTTTTTTTTTTCTTTTTTTTTTTTTTTTTCTTTTTTTTTTAAGTCACAATGAAGCTTTAATTGACGGAAGCTTGGCTATATTAACAGCACAAGATGAGAAAAGGTTTAATCTCCAAACCTATTAGAGCGTGTGTAGTAGCATCAGTAGCGGCCACCTTGCGACATGACAGGAGGTCTCATTCCCATTGGAGGTCGAGGAGGTCCACTTTGGTACGGGGGCACCATCGGAGGTCCCTGACCATAAGGAGGCATTGCTCCAGGAAGGTAGCCTGGCATGCCCTGGTGATGAGCACCATACTGACCTACAAACAAAACATTTAAGATGCAAAGTATTTTTTTTTTTTTTTTTTTTTTTTTTAAATGGGCACAGCTGCATTTGTGAAAAGCTGTTTTTCACAGCACCTGACATTTCAAAATTAAAAAAGACAGCAAATAAATCTCTCAAAGAGAAGAAAATGCAGAGATGTCTAATTACCGTGTGGTGGCATTGGAGGCCTCATTCCTTGTTGCTGCGGAGGAATTCCAGGCTGTGGTGGCATCATACCTCCAATTGGTCCAACAGGTGGATTACCCAGGGAAGCTTGTCCCGGACGAGGAAGATTACGCTGATACTTGGGCAACTGAGCCCTTCTCTCTTCCTAAAATGAGGACAGACAAGCATAACACACTCTAAGACTAAAACTCTGCAAAAACAAAGGGAATAAATGTAATAAAGTAGATTAAAGGCACTGAATTATCATCATTTTAGAAATTTAAGATTGCTACTAGTGAACATTCCATGGTAACATCTGGATTTTTTTCTCCCTTCCCTCAAAGTTACTGCACTAACACTGATCACTCAAGTACGTAACACAAGTTCTCTGAAGACTGTCCTTTCCTCACAACATGAGACAAAAGCAAATCTGGAGATACATGAACTGAATTGAAGGTTTGCTTGTTTTACCCACAGTCTCGATTCCTGACTGCTGTAACAGCATCAAGATAACTTCAAAACGTTAAGCCTTTTGTTTGACACTCACCAGCTGTACTCAGCTAAATTCAAGCTTAAGCCACATGAAATGAAGTCCAAGTTACATTTTGGGTTAAGCAATTCCTTATTACCAGAAGTAAGACTTCTGACTGCAGGATCAATGCAATATACCAGTCACTACTTGTCAACCAAGGATGTTTCATCAAAGCATAATTCTTTTAATTCTGCACGTTTTGTTGTCTCACCTTTACTAAAAGCGTTGCACAATGCACAGAGTATATTCTAATTAAGTCAACCATATCAGCATAAATAGCATTTTCAGCAAGATAATGAAAATATGTTGACTTACCAGTGATATATCCTCATCTGGATGGATCAACTTACTGGTTGCACTGGTTGTGGTAAGGGTAGCAGGCTTACTTGTTATAGATGTAGCTGGTTTAGCTGCAGTACTGTTTGTGGTGCTAGTGGTTGAGGTTGTAGACTGTGTGTAAGCAGGGAATGTAGGTTTAGGGGGCTCTGTTGTTGCTGCTGTAGAATTCAAAGGTTTGAAATCAGTACCAACCGGACCTTGAACAGCTGCTGCAGCCTGTGAAGCACAGAGATGGATCAATATTTATTTCCTAAAGCACAAGAAAACTTAAATTACATCTGTTAGACCTTTGAAACCTTCCAGTGAAATACATATTTAAAATAAGCTTGACAAAAGTAAAGTTCAGCCTTATCACATACTAAAGCAACTGAAAACAAGACAAAATAAAACCCAGTATATACATACATACAAACATACACACACAGGAAAGTCTAGAATTCGCAGGTCAAAAGCCACAACTAGAAAAAAGGAACAACAAAAAATCCTACCAAAGTTTTCACCTCAAGTACTGAGGTCGGTAAATGCCTAAATCCTTCCTAAATTACGGTTTTATTAACAGCTGTAAGCATAAAAATCACAATTTTCTCAATAAACTAGCATACTTTAGCAACCATTAGTTTAGAGTACAGCTCAGAGTGTTAGCATTCATTAAAATTAGGTACTTAAAAATGTTGTTATTGAACATTAAGAAAACTACTGTGTCAGGTCTTTCGTTGTAAGCATTCTCTCTGAAAGTATTGCAGTGTTCTTTAAAGAACTATGTCTCTCTACAGATCTTCAGTATCATTTCTAAGTAAAGAATCAACTCAAAGCACACAAGGTCCACTAAGATCACAGCATCTACGCTTTCCTATATTGCTCTTAATTGAAAGTTTTAGAAGAAAAATCGGCTTTATCAGGCCGAAGATGCAACAATCCTCAAAACAAGCCTTAGTTACGAGAGAATGCTTTTGTTTCTGCTCACTGGATGCTTACAATACTTTGCTGAACTTTCTAATAAAAATGACTCCATTTTTGCACATAATGCATCTCACAAAATCCCCTACATTCTGACATACTGTATTAAACACCGAACTAAAAAGCCTTCACCATGCATCAAGCTAACCACTGCCACTAAAATGCATTTAACTGCTTTCATGCTTTTTTAACCCTTTAGAACCAGGACATAGCATTTCATACTTGCACGCTGTCTAAGAAAAATTGGGCACTTCAACATGCTTATTTCCACTAAGATGCAACTCACAGTTAAGGACTCTGCAATTTTACCAGCTAAACATAATCAGGAATGTAAGAAATGATCTGAAGATGTTTAGTCCACTTTAGATTTTACAGAACGGTCCAAAGGGTTAAGTTGCAAAGCAATTTGTTTTTAACTGTGACTTCCTGCGTACTTGTGCTGTGCTAGGAAACAGAGCGTTAGAAGACGCTGACAGACTTTCTGAATTGGAGGAAGCTGTACTTGAGCTTGTGACAGGTGTCCCCATCTGTAGCATAAAAGAAAGGAAACAGTGAAAAGTCTCCAAACAAATGGGTGGAAAGTATCCAGATGAAAGGGTTTCTTATGCTAAGGGCTGCGTTTTTGTAAATGAGTACCTTCCCTGTAGAAGTCCAAAATGCAAACAGGACACCATGAAGGTTAAATACTTAAGGACTTACACATAGCAAGAGAAACCAAAATACAGAGGTCACAAGCCATTCTGTCAATTCCCACTTCCCTTCCCAAAACATTTAAACAGCATTACTGCCTTAGTTAAATCGTTCAGACAATGCTTAATCCAGTCTGAACAGAATGATAGAATTAATTAGGCCTTCTGCTGGCAAATTATTATGAGAACAAAAGAGACTAAGTCTTGTCAAGATTTACACTTAAGCAGTTTTAGGTTAAGTTCTAAGCAATCAGATTCCTACAGCTGACTGATGCCTCCCTTCACCCACCCAAAGAGCCCAAATAAAATGCAAACTAAAGGGATTAATGAAAGAACTGTTTTGCCTACTACTTTCTTCCCCACTGCTTACAGAACTTCTGTCTGGTTTCATGGCTGTTGCAAGACAAACAAAACAATCTTTTAAAATTCATTCAAACGCTACAGTGGATTAAACTTAATAATCAACACAAGCAAGAAGTGTAACCAGTCATTTCTTGTTTCCTAATAGCAGAGGAAACTGACACACGGTAATTTGAAAACTATACCCATCGATTCCAGGCCGAGACACCTTACCTGCCCTGCACTTGGGAAGAGTGGTTTAGTAACTGGAGGCTGCGGGGTGGGTGCTGATGCAGCAGGAGCTGGAGGTCTGTTAAGAATGCCCGGTGCTGTAGCAGGCTGTGCTTGTGTCATAGGAGGCATCCCAGGACGAGGACCAACAGGTGGTGGCATACCTACAAACCACAAAGAACCTGTAAGGTCTCAGGCTCAAGAACAGAAGCATCCCGTTAGAGGATTCTGTTCCAAGTATTCCTTATGACAAAGCCTTCCTAGGGAGATACACTTTTAAGCCAACAGGTCTAGCCTGCAGTCACCATACACAGCAACTAGATCAGAGCTCACAGGCTCACGTCAAGACTGTTAATTCTCCATGTCCCTCTCTAGATCATTCAAACAAAGCTTTACTACCTTAATTTACTGTTGGTCACCAACAAAGGTCCATGTGTAGGCAGTTACCTTAAACACTTCAGAGCAATACTGAATCAAGTTGTACATTTCCATTACAGCTTCAATAAGAGAAGCTTACACTCCCAAATAAATCAATGCAATCAGCACAGCCTCTGCTTCCAGAACACTGTTTCTATGCTATCGTGACTGTAGCTAAGATTGTTACAAAATCTAAAAAAGGGAGCTGCTGTGAATAGTATCAGTACTTTGAAACACTCTGCTGGGGACCTTCAGCACAGCAGACGGAGACACAGGAATTAGCATTCCTCATTCCTTTGACTAAAAGGCCCTCAAGCTAGCATGCGAGTTAGCTGAAAATAAGTTAAAATTTTTGTGTAGCCTATCATTGCAAAACATGTACTTTGTATGTGGGGGGGTCTAGGAGAGGTCCAGAGACAGAACTTAACAGCACACAAAGGTTCCATCACACACTGTGCAGCAGAACCAGCACGACTGTCCTACTGGCTCGTCTTCTCCAGTGAGAAAATTGGGCAAACCAGTGACTCAAGTCATCACTACCAGAACATAAGGCTGCTCAACAAGTTGAGAAGCTCAAGAAGTAGCTCTGTTCTAGCTACACAAGCAATCAGAAGAAAAGACATCTTTATCTGAGTGTCATCAAGACTGTTTCTCATTCTCCACAATAGTTTTCTATTTTTGTATTATATGCATTATATATATATTTACATTATAAAACAGACACTAGAATAAGTGAGTGGAGATGGACCAGGCAATAAAAAAGCCAGATGAACAATAATAGGAAGAATAAATTTGTATTCAATTTTTTTTTTTACCTGTACAGCAGTATCAAACACAATGACTTATCTTAGTCAAAAGCCAGAAATAACCACTTCACCTCTGCACAAGAGTGGCTTCTGCAGCAACTGAACTGCAAAAAGCTGGCAGTGAACATCTGTACACTCTTTACATAAATCCTAAATCTCAGCGTAAGTAAACATCATTCAGCTCTCACCACAATATCCATCTGACAGCCCTGACTTACCTGGTGGCATACCAGGCATAAGAGGTGGTATTCCTGGCCCAGGAGGCATCATTCCACCCATTGGCATCATCCTATTGAGTAAAGTGATCATTAGAACAAACACATGCAATAGACCACTGAAACATTGGCACATTACCTGTATTAGATAAATAACACAGCAAATAATTTCAGGAAGCAATCAATAACCAGCTCACTGCAGCTATGTGTTTTTCAACAAAGAAATAAAAACATTTAAACTCCAAATACATCTCACTTGAATTTTCATTCCCCAAGCATTCACTTCCTCTGTTATCAGATTCCAGAACTAGTGCTCCTCGTGATATACACTTCAGAATACTTCCAGACACTTGAAGCTGGATTACAGGAAGCAGAACGAAGGAACATCTGTTATCTTATTTTGGAAACTGAACAGTTTTGTAGTAGCCAATATGTGCCAAATCACGACTATGAAGCAATTTCTATTCTACATAGCAAAACCAAGAAACATTTACTGTTCCCGTTTCAAAATCAAAATGAATCATGAGGAGGTGAGTCTTCATTCTCCATAGCAGCTTGTAACCCAGCCACACTATCTTCTCAACCTGCCTACTAAGGGAACAACAGCGCAGAAGCACAGCTGGGAACACACTACTATCACTCCATTTCTGGATTAAAGTCTGGACAAGGCAGTCAGTCTTGCTATCTGTTTGGACAACTGTCAAACCTAGAAGTTGCTGCTGCTGCCAATAGAAATGTAACTGCCTGAAAAACCGCAGATAGCGAGTTGTTGGCAAATTGATTTGCTTCTTTTACTACACATTACGTTCATCTGCAATTAACAAAGACCTTAAGGAGAACTAAACACCAGCAAGCTTGATAAAATTCTGTTCAGTTTCCACCCAGAAAAGCTGCAATCATGAACATCCACAAAGATGTCTGATAAAGATGTTATTTCTACATTCGAAGACTGTTAAAAGAATACCAGTGTTTCAGAAGAGAACAGCTTTAAACAAAAACAAATCTCCTGCATTAAGTCCTACAGGTAAAGGACTAAGCACATGGAGCTGTTTGCACTCTGACACAAGGAAGGATATAAAACCCAAAGTTCCTATTTAATTAATATTCTGCAGGATGTGCTTCCTGCAACGTGTAGTTTTATAACAAGCGATTAGATAAAGAATAAAAGCTTCATGATACAACAAAACATAGCTAGACATTTTCCCCAAATGCTTCAGCAAAATTCAGATGTTTTCAAGTTAGACAACTTTCAATCTTATCAAATATACAACATAAAATGGCATAATGAATGTACCTATAATTACATTAATGAGATGCTTACATGTTTCCACCACAAAATGACTGCATGTATTTTCTTTGTTGATGTAATCTGTGAAAATTTATGACAAAATCAAAAATCTAACTGTGATTTTTCCAAACACATTATGATAGGGTACGGTGTAAATCCCAAACAAACATCAATACCAACAACTTACTCTTGCCCAAAACACAAGAATTTTATTCTCATATTTAAAGAACTTTAAACTATCCAGTATTTTTTCTGGATAGGTTGGATGACTGACAGCCAGATGGTACAAGATGTGCCATATACAAACAGAGCTTCACATAAGGCTTTAAACCAACACAACACATTATAAAACCATTATGAAATTACTAAATAAGATCAAGAGAAAGGCAACATACTTTACACATAGATTCAGAGTTGGGCTGTATTTTTAATGTTGGTTTATAGCCATCCAGATTTTTGCTGTATCTTAACATTAAGGTTACACAGTTCACAGGTTCCTGCACGTTATTTCCAATTAGCTTTACTCTTTCTGTGACAGTTTAAAACACAAAGCATGGAAACATCACTGTAAATCTTTCTAGCTACTCACCCAGGTGGCATTCCAGGCATCACGGGAGGCATTCCAGGCATCATAGGTGGGACACCTGCCATTAATGGTGGTATACCTTAAAAAAAGGAAAATAAATTTTAAGCACCAACAACGTATATTCATCACCAAATCTATTCAATGCAGGAAACTGTAAAATACTTGTTTTTGAAATAACGTCACTTATAAATAATGAGATATAAAAGGTAATCTACAAATCTGACTTTGATCCACTGCTCCCAACTCTGCAAGACACCCATTGTAACCTTTCTTAGCAGAATCTCTAAAGAGCATGCCTCAACACTGCAGAAAACATCAGAAAGGGCAGTTTTCACTGTCACTAACTGAAATGCTTTTTGCAAGTTTAGTCGCAATTAAAAAAATAATAAAAATAAAATAAAGTTGTATGTATTCTGTGCATAAACTCTCCATCCTCTGCTAGCACAAATCCAGGGTATCCCTTCAGCCTTCTATTTCTAAAATCTTGTTACAAAGTATCACAAAGTAGATCCATGTTTAAACTGCTGACCTGTCTCAGTATCATACTGACAGTTTTTCTACCTAGATGCAAACATTAGCTATTTTCATCTGCTTTACTGAGGAACACGTGCACCCCCTGCACCAGGGGCAGGAAGAACCTGAAGAACTGCTCACATGCACCTCACTAAACTGTCTTCAGAGCACAAACCCACTGCATTGGAGAATACCAATTAGCAGATAATTCCAAGTAGAGATCAGTATTCCTACTCAGCCTTTCAATAACTAGTTCAAAAACAGCACCCTTACCAGGAGGCATCCCTGGAGCACCCGGCACAGGAGGCAAACCTGGTTGTGCCATTGGGGGAATGTACCCCTGCTGTGGCTGAACTTGTTGGGGCTGAAATGAAGTGGAAGCTGCAGATTCATCATCTTCGTATTCATCAGAATCATCCTGTTGCTTCTTCTTCTGGCTCTCTGCTGAATCATACAACGCACGTGGTCAGAGGAAAGTAAACAATTTCTATGAAATTAATTTTTATCTGGAGTATTGTAGCTGGAATGACAATCATTTTGAGTCTTATCAGCATGTTCAAAAATTCACATGATTACAGAAGAGAAACTGTGTGTCTACTATTATATGTACAGAAAATAAAGGGAAGTGACTCACACTATAGCAACTCTCAGTGTAACAGGGGTCTACCTTCACGTAAGCCTCTGGCTGGAGAGAATAAGCCAGAACAACTCAAAGGCATAATTCCAGAACAAAGAAGATTTAAGTATTCCTACCCTGTCAGACTAACATAATTCCTGGTCTATACAAAACAAACAAACAAACCCCTAAAATTCATCATCCCTGTAAGCTGAATGCTTTCTTTCTGAACAGGAAAAAAAAAGAAGTATCATCACTTGTCTTTCTACGTGATAGGCCACATCAAGGGTTGCAGTTAGGGCAGTGTAGTCAGTTCTAACTCTCTTAAGCAGGGAGACCTGTATCACACAGGGCCAAAACACCACAAATCAATTTTCAAATCCAAAAACAGACGAGGGAAACTCCCCTACTCCTCAAAAAAGCACTCATCCCAAAACATCAATAACGGCTTTCTTTCCAAAGCCTACAAATAACGTCCTGAGAGGCAGGCAAAACACATCAGAACAATAAAAATATCGACCTGTGATTTCAAGACAAAGCAATACTGCCTACTGTGTGCTGAAGACGCACTATTCAACGTGGACAGTGCACACAAAGAATACAGATCAAACAATTTAAGCAAAGCACCATGGAGATGACAGATAACCAGCCAGATCACACTTTACCCTGAGTTTTTTGTTCAAGTAACCTCCTCCGTTCCTCCATGTCTTTTTCTGGAATGCCCTCCATGCCATAGATTTCCAGTTCAATATCTGTTCTCCCAGGAATAGCATTTGGAACAGCGTCTATTGTTTCTTTATGTACCTAAGAAGGGAAGGAAAAAAACCTCCTGATCAAAACTCAGGTTAGATTTAGGTTTGCCTGCACTAGTTTAATTTCAAAAGACAAACAAAACATCCTTATTGGGAAGCATATCTCTAGTCAGCCATTTTCTGGATACTCCTCTAGTCGCTGTAACTACCATTAACTTCTAAAACTAGTTTCTAAAACTCTGATCACCAAGACAATGCAATTCATCCACTCCTACATTCAAAAACTGACCACAAATTTCTCTGCTGCATACCCACCACACAAACTGCTGGCACATCAGGAGACCTGCTCGTGAAGCTTAACACTACTGACTTTCTCTCATCATTTTCCAGGATTGTGGAAACCCCAAGAGAACATATTTGTTTAAGCTGATTATTCCAATTTTAGACACTGTCAAAAAAATTTTCTGCAAGACTAAAGCTTCTTACCTGCATGCAATGTATAGCTAAACCAGGTCCTGTATACAATTTCTTATGACATATATGGCATTTAAAGTGCTTTGCTTTTTGATGCTGTATAAGGATTTTTTCATCATCAAAATCCCTGTTACAATACCTATTGAAGATGTTAAGGAAATATTTCACACTGAAAGTGAGCTAATTAGTATTGTCGTTTTTTTTCTTCCTAAAGGAAACTGAAAGCACAGCAAGCAACCCTGAGTTTTCAGAGCACCAGTATTTCATCCATGTCTGAAACCAAACCTCCCTCCTCACATCACCCAGTAACAACAACCAGAGAACAGCAAGATGTGCCCATGCAACCATAATCATAACATTCTGATAGATGCTTTTTTAAGTCACAGTTTTTTCTAAGTGGACTCCTCTTCCTCCTTTACATATTTTCAAATGTAAATTTTAAATATTATTAAAATGTTGCTAGAGCAGCAAAGGAGAAGGATGACAGATCCACAAAAGGGAAGCAACACCAAATACTCTGAAACACCCAATTAATAACACATATTGGCAGCTAACGTTTATGGAAGAAAAAAATACAGTTTTAATGGAGAATTCCCTTTTCAGCCACCCAACTGACCAAAACTTTAAGACATCACAAGATTCATTGTAATCATAACAGAACTTTATGTTTCTAAACTGAAACATCTGAAGAACTTTTCGAGCTGTTGCGTAATGAGAGGCAAATGGCCGTTTCTTTTGTGCAGCTCAGCTAGAAGGCTTCAGCAGGCACTGCAGCCATCCTGCTAAGCAGGAGAGCTACACTGGGTACAACCTGCTCCTCGTTAACAGCGTGTCCTTCACTTTCAACAAAGCCTGGTAAACAAATTCCACCCGGATTATAAATTCCTTTATTAAAGACTAATTAAAAAAAACGGCAGAGAGGTATGCTTGCGATCACTCTTCAACAAAAAGCAGATTACAAAAGGGCTAACTCGTGAAAAACCCATTGGTATTTTTACATGCCGAGATGTTTTGACGCAGCAAATACAAATTTTATATTCTAAAATGAGCTTTCCAACAGCTCTCACTCCTGCAACCACTCCTGCCTCGCTGATTAGCGCCCAGCACGGCGCTGCTCACGAAGATGCGATGCCCTCGTGGGGAACAACGGCCGCTCCGGGCCCAGCGCAGGGCGAGCGGCCAGGCTGGGCCAGCGGGGGGCGGGGAAGGATTAGAGAGGAAGGACACGGGGTAGGCCGGGCCAGGATGAGGGCACAGAGAGGGAGTGAGCACGAAGCCAACGGGAAAACAAAGAAAAAAAAGAAGAAAAAAACCCACAAAATTAACAACAAAAAGATCGGCGCTCACGGGTCGGCGCGGAGCTCCGCAAACACCGGAGGAGAACCCTGCGCCCCTCCCCCACCCCGCCCCACACAGCGCAAGGATACCAGCACCAAGGCTTCAGCTGCTTCTTCTTCTTACGGCCCATGACGACGGAACACGCGACCTACGCAGAAAAAAAAAAAATAATAATAATAATTAAAAAAAAAAAGACCGGCCGACCTTCTTCCCCGCCAAGCCGCAGCGCCCGCAACCGCCGCCGCGCAGACCGAGGCAGGCACAAAATGGCCGCCACGCACCTCCTGGCACGGCCGCCCCCGAGCTCCCAGAGCGCACCGCGCGACGGCGGGAAGGGGGGCCGCTCACGTGACCAGCTCCGTCCCGGCATGCCTGTGGGCGGGAGCGGCCATTTTGTGTAAGCCTGAGGGGCGGGCTGCGGGTTTGCGGGGTGGGTTGGGTTGAGCGGTGCGGATTCTGTAACGTCTACCGCGTCTTTCAATAAATCACGTGAGCGGCGGTTGCGGCTGCGCGAGCTGTTTCGCTTTGCTCACTCGGTCCTGCAGTCCTGCGCTGGGTAGTGCTGCGCGCACCAACTGATCCGGTCCGCTCCTGAGCTGCGGGCTCCGCACCGCCCTCACCCCGCGAGGGGGCGGCGCGCACCGCACAGCCGCGGGAGGCGCTGAGGCGCAGCCTGCCCGGCCCTCGGGGCGGAGAACGGGGGTGGGGGGCGTAGCGGCGCGGCTGGGCGGCGGGGGCAGTGATGCTGGCGGCGCTGCCGGACGGCGATGAGCGGGAGCTGGAGAGCAGCGAGGAGGGCAGCGGCGGTGTGGGAGACGAGCGGCGGCCGGAGCGGCACGGCAGCACCTACCACAGCCTGTACGGCTACCGGAGCCGCAGGTGAGGGGCCTCGCGGGCGGACGTTCCCAGGCCCTGCGCGCTGCCAGCCGCTCTATTCTGCTTTTATTTGCACCTTTCCGTAAAGACTCTTGTTTTTTTTTCTCCTGTAACGTTCTGATTTCCTGCTCTATATCACCCTCGGGCCGTACCTTTTCCCAGCGCCCGTTCTGCCTGCAAAAGGCGTGCTAAGACCTCCTTGCCTTCAGGTCATCACGGCGGGGAGCGGATGGCGGCGATGGCGGCGCGGCACCTGGGAGCCCCCCCGGCCGGGACTTCAGGTACGGCGCTCCGCGCCCCGTCCCCTCGGGACGCCGTTGCTGCAGCACAACTGCAGGCTCTGCTGTGGTGGGCAAACTGCTGACTGCACTGATGGGCCTGAAGGCTCAGAGAGAAACCACAGTGCTCCTCCTTCCAGAGCGTGACGGCATGCAGGCGCTTCTGCTCTTCTTCAGAAGCAAAACATTTGTTACTTGCTAATGCTTTCATCTTGCTTTTTAAAGCCTCTCTTTGCTGGACACAAACTTACCAGCTGAAGCAGAAACCGAACTGCGTGGTTTTATTGCTAAACGCCTGGCCAAAGCAGCTGTTTTCGAAGGGATGGGGAATGTAGCAACTGTGGATTTGAGGTAAGATATGCTTTTAAAAATTACTTGTGAATGAAAAGGTCTGAGAAACATTGGTAGCATGGCACACCTTGCCATCACCTAGCTTTAAACCTGCTGTGATTGCATGCTCCCGGTCTGTTGCTGCTGTTAATAACAGCTGTAAGTGAACACTTTCCACATTAACTTATAGTAATATTTTTAACAACTTTTTTCTTTTTTTGCACAGTATACCAGAATGTAAAGTTGGTTGTTATTACTGTCTTTTCCAACAAGAAAGTCTTCTAGAAACAGCAACACTGGAATCAGAAATCAGTGCTCCAGAATATGTAGTTTGTTTCCTAGGTGGCTCAGAGAAAGGTCTGGAACTATATCCTTACCGTTATCTTTCCATATCTGTATGGAGAGGGAGATGATGGAAAAATGATATTCTCTTTTTGTCCGTGTTCTCCTTGAAATCAGCGCACTTATGCATATGTTCCACTATGTATGTAACTTAAAATATCAGAAACAAGCATATACTGAAAGCACAAAATGTGGATCTTAATTGATGCATCTTATTTTCCTTAAGAAGATACTTTCAGACTTGAATTGGACAAATACGTTCAAAGTCTGAAGCTAAGCCTTGACTTGGAGGTAAGATCTAACTTTTTACATTTGTTAAGTGGTGAAAATGACATTTTAAACAAACGTGTTACTCAAGCCAACCAGAAGATTTAGTGTGTAGAAAACAAACACTCAGAGATGGATACAGGCTTCCCTGTAGAGACAGTGAATGTCTAGAGTACTGTTAACCACAAAAGTCAAGAGGGGAAAAAAAGGGGGACTTCTTTGTGCCAGTCATGAATCTCTTAGAGGTTACTTGCAGTTAGCTTCAAAGAGAAAAATGACTAAGCAAATGTAATAATCTACAGGAAGGGTCTCTGTGTCTACCAAGAGCCCTGCCAGTTCTCAACAGCAAGGAAGGATTTCTACTGGTGGTCCTGTCACCAGTATATTTTATGTTTCTGTTTCATCTTGCATGCTCCAGCAGACTCTTTGCTGAGTATGCATCATAATGTGATATAATGTTTTGTATCGTATATTACAGTTCTTTCCCTTCACAGCTTACACTGCAAAAAGTATGGCTTTAAATGTTAAACTGATTATTTTGATCTAGTGTGGTTTGCAGTGAAAAACTACTTGACATCTAAATATTTTAGGTTGAATAGATTATTAACAGGCTTCTGTGTGTGTAGAAATCAAACCTGTGACTAAACGGTTTCATGTTTTAATGTTTTACAGCAGAAAACGTTGGAGACTTGTGTTAACCCCTACTTAAGAAGCTGGTTTGAGAATTCCATATGCCCAATTCAGAGAGTAGTACAGCTCTTCCAGGAGAAACTGGCCTTCTTGTTACACGCTGTATGTGTATTCTTAACTAAGTAGAAGAGCTTCAGCAGCTATTTCCACAACTCTAATATGTTTAAAATGCTGCTTACGTTTCCTTTCTCAAACAGGTGTAAATTAGAAACATCTTCCGCAATATTTTTGTTTGTTTGTTTATTGTTGTTTGTTTTGGCTTTGGATGGAATAGCTAGTTAAGTATAATCACTGTATTCTGAATGCAAAGCCAGCTGCAACGTCTATAATGTGGAATATTCCCTTGGCTTCTTCTCTTACTCTGAAAAGAGCAAAATTAATATGCTTTGTATTTCTTGCTAGTAAGTACAGTACAGCAATAGAAGTAATATCCAACTCGTGTCTAACTTCTAAACTTTTTTGTTTGTTTTAAGGCACTGAGTTATACTCCTGTGGAAGTAAAAAATGCAGATGAAAGAACAGAAAAAGACATTAGCAGGTAAGGATGTTATGAGACAGAGGAACCTGAGAGTAACTGCTTTCATGTGTGATACCTTCCTCTTCTCCTCACTCAGACACTATGTAGAAACAGCAGCTCACAATAGTTTTTGTGTTAGGTTTCTGGCAGCTGCTAGCCTCCAAGGCCTTGTTCAGGAAGGCACAATGACCTCCTTGTGCATTGCCATGACTGAGGAACAGCACAAGTCAATGGTTGTAGACTGTACTGGAGCCCAGCTTCAGCTGCACAATGCAGGTGAGATTACAGTTGTTAACACCCCTGTATTCCTCTGGGCTGCTGAGACTCCTTGGTTTTAGAGGTATTTGAGGATATTCAGCAGCTCATAGGTTCATGCCCATGTAGTCTGGATTCTGTTTGGAAACTAAAACGCTGCTTTTCCTATCAGGTAGTAATTTGTTTTACCAGTTCTACTTTGCGGACTATAAAACTATAATGTATAAACTTCTGGGAAGCTGAATTTTTTTTTTTCTCCCCAATTGGATTTTTGACAATTGTGAATTCACCAATCAGAGCGGGATTTCATGCAGCCACTGTAGCTGTATTCGCTTTTCCATGTGTATTTTTTTCCTTTAGGCTTAATTCCTGGCCCACATATTGTCAGCTGTATGAAACAAGGTGAATGCAGCTGTGTATCCATATTGAGCTGGTTTACTTTTTGCTCATGCCTTCTCTGTGTTCCTGAACACTTAACAGGAAGCAACAGATTCTGTGAGGACTGGATGCATGCTTTTGTAAATGGTGCTGAAGGTGGAAATCCATTTCTGTTCCGGCAAATTTTGGAAAACTTTAAATTGAAGGTAATGGTTGGTGTGTGGTAAAGACACATCACTCAATTCTTACGTCAATTCATTTGTCTCTATTCTTCCTTCACTTTTCCACATCGTATTTTCTTTCCACATACAAAGATAAGAAAATGTTCTGTAACTGTCATTCCAGGCAATACAGGACATTAACAACCTGAAGAGGTTTATTCGACAGGCTGAAATGAACCACTACGCCTTGTTCAAGTGTTACATGTTCTTAAAGAACTGCGGCAGTGGAGACATCCTTTTGAAGATAGTTAAAGTAGAACATGCAGAAATGCCAGAAGCCAGAAACGTAGTGACTGTCCTTGAGGAATTCATGAAAGAAACAGCAGTGGCTTAAAATTATCTTAATTATCCTACAGCTGTTGGAGAGTATTGTATAAATCATTAATTTCTTCTGTGCAGCTTAGTTTCACTACTGCAGAAAGTTTTCTTTTAAAAGCATTACCTGAGTCAAACCTAAGTGGCAATTTCAGCTCCTTCTCTCCCTTTAGAGAGAAAGCAGCATGAGCTCTTTTTAATGTGTAAATATCAGATCTTAAAAAACACTACTTTCACAGCTTAACATTCTCCTGAACTGATGTGTTCATCTTGTGAGAAAATCATTACATTTGTGGGTTTTGTTTTGTTTTGCTTTTTTAAAGCGTTGGCATGACAAAGGAAAGTATTTTAAATATTTTAAGTATATTTAAAATTATCATGTCTAATAATTAAGATCCGTTTACTTGTTTTAGTAGAAAAAGAAGCACAAACATTTAGATAAATGACAGTAAATGAGTTCATCTTTGTTCATGTGAGAGACCATAAAAAGTCTGTAGCTAGTTTCTACTTCCTACTTTCACATCAACAGTTTTGTTCTTCTACGATTGAAGAAACAAGTTATTTATTGACAGGAGACAGAAAGCCTGGGCAGGGTTTTAGGACTCAACTTATATGTGCTTCTGTCTGTTCATGTATGTGCTGGGCAGGCATGTTAAATTCCCAGACTAGGTTATGAATCCAATTCATTTGTTTATATTCTTGTGACCAAGATCTTCTTTGTACATTCCTAGCATCGCTTTTGTATAATGAAAATAATTGTATGTAGTGAAGAATTAATCGTGAAGATTTTCTAGAGTCAATAAAACTTCTTCATAAATTGAAATAAACTGTCCAAAAAAGGACTGAAAACACTTCCTTGTGTTGGCATAATCCTAGTAAAAATCATACTTTAAATAGAAAAGAAGAAACAAAAAGCCTAATAAATAACACACAAGCAGCTAGTTTAGTTGGATACATGCCTGGAGGGTGTGACACACAACTGTCTCCAGCAATCAACTATGAAAAGCTGAGGAAGAAGTGCACCCATGCTTAGAAGATGCTGAGATGTGCGCTTAGTCTGCAACCCTTCCGTCCCAGGGAAAAGTTTGAAGCATTCTGGTGTAATTGGTCTTCGTTCCCTTCAGTTCTGAGATCACTGCTGCCGTGGAGCTTCAGCTGTTACGTGGTGGGACAAGATGTGTCTGAATGCCACTCAGAAGCCACGTCTGTCCTTGTTTAACTCGTGGAGAAATACAGCAGCAATTCACTTTCTCCTTTATCAGACAGCTTTAGAAACATAAAAGTGAACCATCAATGTCATTATTAGAAGATGACATCTCTGCTCTCACAACCGACTGCCCTTTGGTTAAATACTGTAATTGCAGACAAACTTACAAAACTGACTGTGGAAGATTTTCCTTGGATGATTTTTGGCGTGTGATGGAAGACAGCTCTGTTTCATGGGGGGAAAAAAATCCACCAACAAAAATTTAATGGATTCTGCACTCAAACAATATTGTTACAACAAAAATATACAGAATGTACACAATACAAAAATATTTGAAAACATACCATAGTGTATTACCTTGCAAATATCATTTTGTTTTACTAGCCCTTAACGGGAAAGTATCATTTGCTCAGTATTTTAAGGCAGAAAATTACATTGTTTAGTGCTTTGTGTTTAACATTTGGATATGTTGTTAGGTTAGTAGTGTAAGCAAAAGAAAAGCTGAGCAACTAGCTTTATTTGCCAATTAATGAGACACTGAGGGAGTCAGGAGACAGTGACTAACATATCTATTAAGCTCATTAGAAATTAAAGATGTTGCTACTTGAATCAGGCCTGGGGAATATTTTGTGCTCTGTATTGTCAAGTACCCTGAAACATAAATTTTCTGAACTACTACTACTGGCATTTCAGGAATATCTCATTAGAAAACTTTTTCCAATTAAGTGCTGTTGATTAATGATGACATTAAAAGTACATTTACCTTTGAACGGGCTTGGTTTCTGTCTTTAGTGCAGTTCTTTACAGAGCTGCAAAATGAGCTGCTTTCCTTTACAACCAGCTCTCGGCATCACTGACCGCAGGAGGAATGTTTTGAGTCACAGTACAGAGCAGTGGGAAGCAGCCCCTGCTATAAAGGAAACAGAACAGCAGTGATATTCGGAGAGGCTACAATCCCAGAGGTGTTTCTGTTCTCTGGATCCTGGATTGCCTCCAGAGGTTGCTGGTGTTGAACTGCATTCATGTTTTCTAGTTCCACCTCAGGTAAAGCCAGTGGGGTTTCCAAAGTGGAACTCTGTGCAGTTACACAGACTCAAGTTTTCTTTACTCACTGATGTGTGAAGACCCTCTCTGTGATCCTGTAAGCCTAAATGTTGGCACAATACAGCAGCAGCCACATAAGGCCAGCAGATAGCTGTTATTTTTGTATCAGCTCTAAATGTGTCAGACTCCATCCTTCACACCTAGTTCAAAATGAAGCTATATAATTGACTTAAAAAACAAGGGCAGTGTAATGCAGCAGAAGCAAGGTCTTGGGACACGGAATCCTTAAGCTTTATGTCTAGTCCAGCAGCTTCAGGCAGTAACTTCTCCACCCTCCCCTGTCCCCACTGACAAGATACTTCCTTCTGCTGAAAGACCAAGCAGTGTAGAAACACAATGTGCCACAGAAGTGCCCAGCTGCCCCACTGAATAACGGGGGGAAAAAAAGAAAGGTGTTGGCTTAGAAACTTAGCAAAAGTGATTTCATCAGCATTTTTACTCCTCTCTACCTCAGTCAGCGATGGTTCCTGGTAAGCACCGCTCCCACCCATCCTCTCCTTCCTCCTCCTGTTATTACCGATGTGTGCAAAATTAATCTCCACCTGCATCCAAGAATCGAGGAATAACAGGCGCAGTCTGCAAGCCGCGTGGACTTTGCTCTCTCAGGTTGTCTTCCACCATTGCCAGAGCTGTCCGAGCTGCTGCTCCCAGCTCGGATGGGCCGAGCCGAGGGCTCAGCGTGGCTCTGCGCTGTGTCGGTGCGGCCGGCAGGTGTCCCCGAAGGAGCTGCAGAGCCGCCCTGCGGTGCTGTCTGACCGGCAATCACACACGGAACGGCTGCTTGGCCTGCGCTGTGTCCTCATTCAAGGACGGGGGCACGAAATAAACTCCTCCAACATGCGTTATCTCGACTCTGTGCACTGCTAACAGTCCTTGTCTGCCGTTCTGGAGCTGCACATTCACACAAAAGATTCACTTTTTATCTGAGCAATGTAAAATCTTGGCAGCATCTGGACTAAAACCGAAGCGACCACCAAAACCAGTCGTCAGCGGATGGTTCCTTCAGGAACACACTGCCACTGATCAGCAGGAACCACAAGTGAGCAGGATGGAGAATAGCAGAGCTCTGCCATAAGCCAGCAGCATCAAGGACATCTGGAGGTAAAAGCAAAGCCTGTTTGCTGTTAGCTCTCTGGCACTGCAGCGCTGTGGCACTTCTGGGTGCATTAAAAAACACTGTTAACTGGCTTTCCTGATACTCTGTAAAAATATAACAAGTTTTCACAATATACTTTCAGTGATATAAACATAATTATAAAAAACTTCAGCACTTCACAATGCTCCTGACTCCATAAGCTGATATTCTTAATAGAGAACAGGCTATGCATACGATCTGCTCTATACATGGGGAGATATTTCAGCTCTGCTGAGCAGGAATGAAAGAGGCTTTCATTTCTTCACCCACAAAAATCCAGTACTGCTCGAGTCTGACCTCTCTGATCCCCAGGGCTGCTTCAGATTTGCTCAGACAGCAGATGGGAACACAGGAATGGAAGTCGGAAAGATGAACAACTCACAAGTTCAGTGAGAGGTTTTTTGGAAAAAATTACTTTGTATTCACTATGTTCATTTATGGATGAAGGACCAAGGAAGGGCACCTAGACTGCTCTGTGCAGCTCCTATCTGGCAATTCCCATTTCCTGCTCACCTCTGGTTTAAAGGCATCTGTATTCAGAAAGGCTTAACAATTGGTGAAGAAAGAATGGCATTAGCCATGCTTTTCTCTGCATTCTAGTTCCCCCCTCCTGCTTGTCTATGGCTCTCCAGGGAGACAATCTCCATCAGCATGGAACTCGCTGACCAGCTCCTGACCTGAAGCAATGCACATAAAGTTTTGTGACCGCTCTGACCTGGACCCAATCTGCTGAGATGAAATAGCACAGGGAATGAGCCCGTTTCTTCAGACAGAATAGAGCTCTGACCCTTGTCCCTCGATCTGAGGGCCACAAACATGCCAGTCATGCAGAAAGGTGCCCTCTGAGATTCCATTTCTGTGCACAAACAGCAAAACTTGGTTCTTTTGCACATAACGCTTACTCCCAGCTGTAGAGACACTTTTCCTTCTCCCCCTTCTCTTTCCCTGAGGCAACAGGATTTTTACTAGCAGATACCACAGGAGCAGAAGTTCTAGCTTCTGGAGAGATTTCTCCTGCAAAGGCAAATAAGGGAACTACAGTTGATGATTTCTTGGGAACGTCCCCTCTAGAAACACAGGCTCCCACCAGTTTGTGGTTTCATCTGGCAGTAGCAATTACACAACTGAGAGAATAAAGCTTATGATACAAAAACACTTAGCCACAGAGAAAACCCAGCTGCTGCTCTGCCCACAAGATGTGCCACGGAAAGCTGGCGGTGGCTGGGCACCAAGCTGCAAAGAAAAAGGAAAAAAGGAGCTCATCTACAAAGACTCCCATTTCTGCTTTATACAAGGTACCAAACCAGGTGGGCAAAGGGGAGAGAAAAGAAAGGCATCCAAGTATCTCAACTGTAGTTTGGCAGCTCTCCAAAGTGAGAAGCAAAACTGAATATGCACCTTACACAGACACACACTCTGCAGACATTCCAGTCTGGTCCCCAGGTTCACTCAGGCAGCACGCATCGTGTGGCTGTATGGACTGTGTTTCAAACCAGATTACTAAAATCTGGGTTTGACCTATGCTAAGCAAAAAGGCATCAGTGCAACTGACTGTTGCTTTCTCTGAACTTCCATTGCCTCAGAAAGACTTGCCATGCTCAGATTTTAGCAGCCATTTGAAAACCAGTTTTATGAACTTCACAACGTTCACTGTAACACTTCTTCCACTTCAGGAGGAAGCCAGACACACACCCTGACTTAACCCAATACCTTCAGTGGACAAAGCTGGCTTCAAACAGACTGGATGGCTCTAAAGCTGGAGCCTGTTGGAAGAGTTGAGATCCCTGCTTAGATATCACTGCAGGCCAGGCATTAAATCAATACAGCCCCAAATAAAGTGAGAAGAAAACCCCATTGTCAACTGACAAAATCAAAACTGAACATTTGCCTTCCTTTCTTCCATCTCTCAAAAACAAACCCCAGCCACAAGCTGCAGCCACAACAGGCTGGGAAAAAAAGTATAAATCAAGTAAATCGTGCATGGTAAATTCACCTCTAGCCCAGTATCCACATCACTCTAAAGAGTTTCCAAGGTTTATAGTGCAATTTCATTTGACCTGTAGTTGAAAGACCAGTCTCCATCACTTTGGGTGACAAAGTTCTGCTGATCCCTTTCAAAGGTGCATAAAACAAGTTCCACCAAAGGCTTAAAATTTTAAGGAACCATTCAAGTAATTAGACAGTGGCACTGGTATGGCTGAACAGTCAAATGTATCTGTAGAAACCAAACCCAGCCTGCCTTGGGAGTGTCATGCAAGTCTCTAGTTAGTAACTGACTGCTCTTTTTCCATCTTGTGTTTAGTAATATTGAGGAGATTCATTCAACAGTTGGCTGTAATTCCAGCACTGACCAGGAAAATGCAAATATCCCATACAGAATATTGATGTGTGCTAACAAACCATGT